TACAGAGGCATTAAAATACTATCAGTGCCGGGAAAATTTTTCAACTGAGTGTTGCTGAACCAGATGCAAGATGCAGTAGACGCCCAACTTGTAGATCAACAGGCTGGATTCCGTGAGGGTCAGCCGTGCATAGACCGAATTGTGACACTACAGGCCATCGCCAAACAGCCAGTTGAATGGAACTCGTCACTACAACTCAACATCATTGACTATGAGAAGGCATTCGAAAGTCTGGATAGGAAGACTTATGGAAAATTTTTCGACACTATGGTAGACCTGAGAAAATCGTCAACATCATCCGTAATTCATACGATGGACTACAGTGCAAAGTCGTGCATTGAGGACAGCTGACAGATGCATTCCAAGTAAGGACCTGAGTCAGACAAGCTTAATTACTCTTCCCCTTCCTCTTCTGGTGGTCTACTGGATCATGAATACCTCGACATCTGACGGAAAGCACGGAACACGATGAACAGCTCGGAATCAATTAGAAGATTTGAACTGCGCAGATGACCTGGCCTTTGTATCCCATACACACAAACAAACGCAGATGATGAGAACTAATGTCGCAGCAGCCTCTGCATCAGTAGGCCTCAACATACACAAAGGGAAAAGCGATATCCTCAAATACGACACGGAGAACACCAACCGCATCACACTTGATGGAGAAACTCTGGGAGAGGTTGAAACATTCACGTATCTGGGTGGTACCATCGATGAACATGAAAAATGTGATGTAGACGTAGAGGTGAGGATTGGCAAAGCGATGTCCACATTCCTGCAATTAAAGAACATGTGGGACTCAAAACAACTGTCAACCAATATCAGAGTTAGAATTTTCAATACGAACGTCAAAACAGTTCTGCTGTGCGAAGCTGAAACCTGGAGAACTACTACAACCATCATCACGAAGTTACAAGTATTTATAAACAATCGTCTACGTGTGATACTGAATGTCCGTTGGCCGGATACCATCAGGAACAGCGTACTGTGGGAGAGACCAAGGCAGCTTCCGACTGAAGAGGGAATCGGAGAAAGACGCTAGTAGTCGGTAAGACATAGATTGAGGAGATCATCAAAGTGCATCACGAGGCAGGTGCCAACTCGTAATTCTGAAGGGGAAAGAAAAAATGTAAGGCCGAAGATCGCACTACGTCGGGAATGGGAAGCGGACATGAAATGGATGAATAGCAATTGGAAATAACTGGAAAGGATTTCTCAGGATAGGGTTGGATGTAGAATGCATGTGGGTTGCCTATGCTCCTTCACGAGGGGTAACAAGCGTAATTAGTTGAGCAAGGGTTTATACACAAACCAAACAGACCACATCGTATAAAATAACATTTGCAAATAATCACATAATTCGGCTATGTATGTGGGAGACTGTAATTAGTAGACTGAGCATAACTCTAGAACAGTAAATCGTGTAATAATAGTTTGTAGGTTAAAATAAAGCTTGTAATTGGAGGAATATAGCTGTGTATAATTTAGCTACCAAACATTTATACATTAGGAACACATGTCTAATATTTGTCCACAAACTATTCTCAAAAGTCACCATTCATAATTCTCGCCGGTATATAACAGTGTCCTAAGTCGCCCTGTGCCGATGATTCTTCTTGATAGTAGATCAAGTGCATACGCAGCAGTTTATCAATTCTGACTGACCTATATGATGTTCATTGAGATCGTCTAACACCTCGAGATGTCTAGTGAAAATTGACTTCAGGAAGACCACCGCTGACGCCGAGTACGACAGTCGTTTGCTAAGGAGTTCATCCGGCTCTATTCACCACAGATTTACTCATTCTTATTCTGAGAGACCTCAAATCAAACTTTCCGGCACACATTTAAACTGATGGTGACAACTCCACTGAAGTCCCGTTCTTCAACCTCAATGGAGATTTGAAACTATTTAAAAATGTGAATTTAGCAACTCGGTGGAGAAGCAGACAGTTAGATTGCGAATTTATAAACGAAGGATTTCCAACCGGCACTACAATCCTGCCCCTCACCCAATGGATGGTCATAAAGAATCACACTCTCACAATGCTAATACACAAATGGTACTACTGGACGGAATGTAGATGAACTAATGACGAATGTGCATACAGGCAGTTTAAACAAGCAAGGAAATAATGCTCACAAGGAACAAAAGTTGGACTTCAGTATCACACCAAGCTAATCGAAAAATTCGTTTCTAATCCGGAAAGCTTATTCTGCCAGGGTCTTTCTTCGACAAGCCAGAACCAGATTTTCCCAGTTGTTAGGTCATAATACCCAAATTGACAATGACGGTGACACCGCAGAGCTCTTGTCAAAACAGTATTTTCAAAGATTTCAACCGTCACATACATCTTGAATCTGCGTAAGGTTCATCTGCAACTCAACAGGATTCTCAGTATCAAACGTGATTTATGATGTGGTGCACCAGAAAGTACAGCATTTGAACAAGGACACTTCTCCTGGTCAGGATATGATTCATTCAGCAATACTGAGACAAGCGGATTAATTGTTTGTTAAACCACTGAGTATGATGTTCTCACATTCTCCAAGTCAAGGAACGGTCCCAGAGAACTAGATTCTGGAGCACGCTACACTAATTTTCAAACGAGGTCGACGTTGTGAACCTTCAGGCTACCGGCCGGTAGCACTTCTCTCAACACCATCAAAAGTTATAGGGTCTCTGACATGTGACGGTCTAGGTGACTACTAACTACCCACAAAATTCTTTCCACCCCAAAAGAAGGGTTTCAGAAAGGGGAACTTTTGTACAACTAACCTGCTGCCGCGTTAGGCAGACAGATAACCATCCATGATCGCAAGGCAAAGGTTGATGTCATATATCTTGACTTCTAAAAAGTCTTTAAGTGTGGTGAATCGTGCATCTCCTATTAATAAGCTCAAACAGTTAGGTAACAAGTGACTATTAACAAACGATCTAAATGATCGTTTTATTAAGATTAGGGTAATCTTTAATTTCTTTCAGGCTACAGAATGCTTTAATGAGGTCATTCAGGGTTTAGGACCAGGATTTCCTCACTTGGTAATCTATATAAATGACCTTCCTCAGTAAGTTTCTTGAGAGTTTTCATTTGATGCAGCCTATGTGAAACTTCGGAGAGAAGTCTGCAACCAAGATGATAAGCTGGCCCTTTAGAGGGACTGATTCAACTTCAGGGGTGGGAGGAGAACGGACTTACTATGAACAAAACTTAGGTAACTTTCCCCTAGAGGTACCCCTGGTTGAAAAACTATCTAAGAGTTTGTATACCCTATGATCTGAAGTCCCACGTCGACGGCGACAAACATGCCTTCCGACCAAATCTAGCACTTGTAAGATTAGCGTGCATTTTTGGCCGGTTCGGATGTAGGACGTTTCACTTAATCTTCAATAGTTTTACTTAACCGCACTTACAGAATGGAACTATAGTTTTCCCCTTGCTTTAAAACGATAAGAGTACGCTGGTACGTATCCGGAGACAAGCCACGAAATCAGTTCGTGGACTCACATTCAAACATTATAAAGAACACCCAGATAACTGAGTCTTTTCCAATTAGAGTATGGGCATTCAGAGATGACATTCTGGTGACTTACAGAATCTCTAGCGTTCGTGACATTCTCTAAAAATGTCTAATTAAGCCTAGTCACAACACAAACCCTAGGTGTAACACCCAGAAATTAGAGAAAATGCATAAAGATAGACTGTAGGCATACTTTTTACTCTTTATAAGCAGCCAAATTCTAGAATTCTCTGCCGGCTCAAAAGGTTCGGGCGACTTTCCAGGAGTCCAGTATCTTCTCTGGCAGAAATATATTACTTAAGACTTATTACTTTTTGCCGACGACGTGAAACTTTGGAGAGAGATACGCAACCAAGACGATACACAGGCACTTCAGGAGGATCTGATGCGACTTCAAAGTTGGGCAGACGATAACGGACTTACCTTTAACACTTCAAAGTGTAAAGTAGTCCATCTGCGACATGTCGCAAACTACAGTTACAACTTAGGAAACTCCTCTCTAGTAGTATCCCAAGTCGAGAAAGATTTAGGAGTCCTGGTGCCCCATGACTTAAAGTCTTACGCTAACTGTGACAAAAATGCCTTCCGAGCAAACCTTGCACTGGTAACGTTGAAGCGCATTTTTGGACAGTTTGACGGACGAACTTTCCATACACTCTTCAATAGTTTCATCCGTCCCCATTTAGAGTACGGAAACATAGTACTCCCCCCTCACTCCAAAAGGACAAGGTCACTTTGGAGCGTATCCAACGGCGAGCCACGAAATCAGTTCGATGACTCAAATCTAAGCCTTACGAAGAACGCCTCCGTTCACTAGACCTTTACCCACTAAAATATAGGCGTCTTCGAGGTGATTTATTAATGGCTTATAGTATTCTTAACACTTCTGAACATCCTCTTAAACACCTACTTAAGCTTAGTTCGAATAATAACCTAAGGGGTAGCACCCAGAAACTGGAAACACAACATAGCAAGACGGAATGTAGATACAACTTCTACTCCTTAAGAGTTGTCAAAAGCTGGAATTCGCTGCCGGCCGAGCTAGTCCAAGCGACTTCTCAGGAGTCCTTCAAGAGGCAACTTGACTAAGGACAGCATCACATCATGATTTACCAATTTTTTTCCTCTTTTATTGTTAACATACCTAGGTTCCTGCCTGGAGGATTTGGTGATCCCCTGCTACTAGACACGGAAGCCTGTTAAGCGAAAGCTTCTTCTATTCCGTCCACAACCATTTGAACCATTTGAACCATTTGAACATATTCTTTAGGAATAAAGGTAGTATATCATTATAACTTCCTTTCATTTTGCTTTCTATCATTGAATATACCTAGGTTCCTGACTGAAGGAATCGTTGATCCACTGCTACCAGATAAGAAAGCCCGTCAAGCTAAAGCTTCTTTTTTTTATCCAGACCCATTTGACTTATTTCCAAAGTATATATATATATATATACATTTGAACCGTTTTGAAACAATGTTTTGAATGTAGCGTTACGTTATGGCTTGCTCTACTACTGCGGTACTAAGTACGTTGTAATCGTTGTCAGTTTTTAATTTTGTTTGTGGACTTTGATCGTGCTATACTTGCCTCACAGACTCCAGGTCTGGTAAAAAGAATGTACATTTATTGCGACTTCCCATTTCCAGGATGTCAGAGAGAACTTCTGTGTCATAGGGAAACGCTCATATACTTGGTATCTCTGATAAGTTAGTAAATGGACCTGCTACATAGTTTCTTGTCATTTAAGTTCGCTCGTCTGATTAAGGTCGAAAATAGTCTGTTCCTGTACATTTTGGCCTCCAAATTAATTTGTGGAAATTTCTAGGGAACTGTCACTATTGGCCCAATGACAACATAATGTCCATATTGTGAGAGAAACATGTGCCTTTTGAAGAAATATTTGGTAAGCCGTAATAGAAATGGTTTGAAACGATGGCACAAAACCCAGAATTTCCCCATGTCTGGGGAAGACCCATTACCGTGCAGTAATGCATCCATATTCGTCGTTAAAACCTCATATTTTATTTTTACATTTTGGGGAATTTCCACAATTTCAGATTTTCGCCAGTATATCTCCGGGAGTTTCGGCAACGTTGTGGAAATCCATCTACGTTTAGTTACCACACCCCAATAGTTTTCCGCACTTAGGGGATATTTTGCACGATTTTCGGTTCTTCCCAATACCTTATTAGAAAAAACCCCTAGATTACCTATTGTTCAGGAAAGTCTACCAACTTAATAACAAGTACCCACAAGTTGATAAGCACCTACTCAATTCTTTTCTTCAGTTAACTTAGCAAATTAAACGCAGTTTCAAAGCAGTTAAACCACGGCAACAAGAACTGGTCTGTCGCGGCAAAGAAGCATTTCCGTAGTTAAAGGACTTATGCGCTATAAATAAAATTGTTTATTGAGGTTTTAAAAATGTGCAAATAAATTGTACGTCCATAACTAATGTCTTCGAATCCTGACACAATTGTAATTGCTCCTCGGTTTGGTACATCGGGTTGATGTTAAACTGTCGTCCACAGTGCTCGACAAAAATAAGAGGAACGTTACTCTTTCGCATTACAAACGCAGTATCAAAACAGCCAAATTGCCAATAGTAGACAAACGATTGCTCTATGTCATAGCAAACATCCAAAATATGAATCCATAATACCATGTGAAAGGTTGATTACGTACTAGTGGTAATAATAATGTTTGCTGAACTAAAAGTTTACAGCTAGGTTTATGAGCACTTGCGAAGCCAGCTGAAAATAAAATATACAGCAAATAGTTACTTCAGTATAAACATGTGTTAGAAACTAATATACAATCAGAAACATATATTCAATTACAGATCAAAAGAACACTTGGCTCACCCTTTCTTTGGATCGCCATCCACGCCTATTAAATTTATCTCTCGCGTCGTGCAAGAAAGCCTGACTTGTGTTATTTCTTTCTCTGGACAGGTTGCACTTCAAAACCGTGAACAGCTATAAATATATTAAGACTGTGATGTGAACTTACTTTAAATCGTTCTGTAGAATATGTAGTTATTTATATTTATTTTATTCTTAGTCCCACGTAAGGTATAAGTAATTACCAGTTCCGGTGTCAGCACGTAATACAGACACGCTTTGATTGACTTCCGAAGATCACACACGATCGCGGACAATCTGGTCACCTGAAATTTCATAAACAGCTGTCACAACTTACGAACGGGTCACGGAACTTTTGTTCCTCCAAAACAGCTTTAACAGTAGGCATTTCCTCAGATGGTTTCAATGGAAATGCGCAACTCGAAGTGTCTAGGTTATTGCTGTAACTGTCCTTCACATCCATGTACGAGCGTTTGATGTAAGCAGTCAGTTTGTCCATCTTGCTAGATAGTTCATTGACTTCTTTCAGAATCACTTTCAATATTTTACTCTCATTATGTTTGCAATTACCTCAACTTACGGGTTACTAACTGCCGTTGAAGTAGATGGAGGCGGTGGTAAGAACACTTCTGTTTTCGAGGAACTACTTTATAAGCATGTACTCAATAGATATCTACTTAACTATTGGGGAAAAGTTCCCAGTCAAAATGTTGGCAACTGGAAACTCAACTGCGACACACGCAGCTTCCATTTCAGTAACCTCTAGTTCTTCAGAGGTGCACAAATAGTTTTTCATTTTGCGTTTGACAACTCTGACAATGAATGGATTGTGTAAGCTCATCAATTCACCTCTTTGACTTCTCTGTTCTACATGTCAGCGTGTCATCCTCAGGTGCAATTGTGCTTTTGTAACCGAGTACTTCAGTGAATGATACTTTCAATCCCTCAGTTATCAGATAATCATCTGAAAGCAATGATTTCAAAGTGATGACAACTTATTACAACGATGCAATACTGTGCATTTTCTCAAAGCTGCATGTGTCACAGTTGAGTTTCCAGTTGCCAATATTTGGACTGGGAACTTTTCCATAATAGCTAAGTAAGTATCTACTGAGTACATGCTCATAAAGCAGTTCCTCAAAAATAGGTGTTCTAACCACCACTTCCATCTCAGTCAGTCAGTCAGTCAGTAACAACGTAGAACTTCGTACGTACGTACATCAGTTCGAGTTGCCACACCACATTAGCACAGAGATGCAGTTGTCGATTCAAATCCCGTAGTGGTAGAGGTAATAAGAGTATAAGCAGTAATCGGGAAGATTAGGGTTTGGAGATGTTATTTAAAGAGTATAATCCAGTGAAATAAATTTGGAAAGAGGAAAAAAGGGACATGAAGAATTCAGAAGATTAGAATTTGGGTGAACACAAACAGTGGATGCACCTGCGCCATTGCAAACGATTTTGAGCCATGTCATTTAGGATCTCTAACCATCGGTTGTTATCATCTCGCGGTCCCCAACCAGGTAGTCTACACCTACCAACATGACTCAGTTCACTTGTCAGTGACTTCATGGACTTGTGCCATGTTTTGGTCTGGCCGCCCCTGGCTTTCTTCCAACCTACTCCTATACCACTGAACATAGCACGTCGAGGCAGTCGGTCGTTGGGCATACGTAACACGTGTCCCAGCCATCTCAACTGATGAAGTTTCACTACTTCATCAATTGATTTGCCATCCTTACCTAGTACCCGTTTCCTAACAACTGTGTTACTTACTCGATGGTCCCATGATATACGAGCAATATTTCGAAGACACCTATGATCGAATACTAGTAACCTACGGATATCGTCTACTCTTACCGGCCATGTTTCACTGCCATAAAGTAGGACGGAACGAACCGCTGCGCAGTAAACCCGTCCTTTGGTTGATAGACGGATATCTCGCCTACGCCATAAATGACGCAAGTTGGCGAAAGCTAGTCGAGCCTTCTGTATCCGTGCCGAGATTTCATCACACACTAAACCACAAGGGCTGATGAGACTTCCAAGATAAGTGAAGCGGTCGACAAACACTGCCATAGAACCTCACGATCAACAGAGTCGAATGCCGCCTTAAGGTCGAGAAATACTACCATTGTGGGGCGTCTGAATGTGTGTCTGTGTTCCAGAACCTGACGTAGTGTGAATATCTGATCTATACAACCACGTCCAGGTCGAAAACCAGCCTGATTTTCTCTAGTCTGCTCTTCACGAGCTTTGGTTAGGCGTCGAAGTATTATTGAAGCTAATATTTTAGACACTATATTAGTCAAACTGATTCCTCTGTGATTGTCACAACAGGACTTTTGTCCTTTCTTATAGACTGGCACAATCAGTGATTGAGACCAGTCAGATGGTATTACGTTCAGTTCCCAAATTCTACTTAAGACCTCAGTTAATCTCACTGCTAATACTGAACCACCATCCTTAAAAATCTCAGGAGTAAACCTGTCAGGGCCTGCTGCTCTCCCTTGCTTCAGATTTCTTATGGCTTTTTCAACTTCGTAAAGGGACGGAGGACCTACATTAATTTGCCATTCAGGTTGACTAGAGATCGTGGGAAACCGAAGTGTGGCTGAAGGCCAGTTGAACTGACCCCTAAAGTGTTCTGCCCATCGATCCAATCTCCATCTACTTCGACGGTATTGGGGAGAACCGAAAATCGTGCAGAATATCCCCTAAATGCGAAGAAAATTCTGGGGTTTGATCACTAAACGTAGATGGATTTCCCCAAAGTTGCCGAAACTTCTGGAGACATATTAGAGAAAACCCAAAACTTTGGAGATATTGCCCAAAATGTTTTGTTTCATGATTAGTAAACTATTATTTTGGTCTAGATGTGTACATGCGTGAATGCTATGCCTTTTAAAAACACGTCCTTATTAACTTTTCATTGGTTTAAACATTTTATATCCTACTGGTCGATCCTTACTTGTAGTGCTGGGAGAGGCTCATAACTGCCTAAACGTTTCCTGTTTTTTTCTAAAATTACGAAGAAACTATGTTGTTTTTAGATTATCACTTCCCGCTTGCCCACACCGTGGAAGGGTTGTTCTGGAGGTACCTGAAAAGGAAATCGGATTAGAAGTGGTCTTAGTGACCTGAGAGCGCGACCGCAGTGCCCAAGGGACAACTGCTTTAAGTCGGTCACATGACCTTTTCATGGGCAATTTTTGTGTTAGCTCCGTACTTGTTGAGATCTTACCGCCGGAGACGGATATCCGTGAGATAAGGCGAGGTGTGCATTTTTACGGTCGACCTTTTCTAACCCCACCCCTCCTTGTGGGAGGGCAGCATCGCTGTCATGCTGGTTTTCTGAAGGAAACACCTTACTGCTGTCACACCTCTGTACAGTCAGCAGTACAACTTCGCCTTCGGACCTTGGGTTTGTTGCTTTTGCCCCCGAATGCCCTGGTACGGCCGAGAGTGGGGAGAGTCCGCTCTCCCTCTCGAAATACTCTCACACGGCCACGCGTATACAGCCTCTGCCAGGGAAGTCCTACTCATTGCCTTCTCGTGGCAGGGGTGTTGTTTACGAAAATGAGAGGACGAAAAGCGAATGTCCGGCGCTTTAATCGCATTCCAAATCAATGGTGCACATGGGCTCCAGTTTCCTGCGGGAACGAATGGCGTATGAACCAATCGTTGGTCACCGGCTACCATGGGATTGCATCTCCTTACGATGCTCCACTGCCTTGTGGGTTAGACCTTTAGGTCAAAGGCTCGGGGAGTGGCCCCCTAAGATAACCACCTGCTTCGGTTCGGGCACCCGGGCAGTATAACAGCCCACACACAAATTGATAAACTCTCTATGCCTATGGAAATTACCTTCCTCGCTTCGAAAAACAATCAATTGATTCAGATTATTATCACTGCAATTATTGTCATTATTATTATTATTATTATTATTATTATTATTATTATTATTATTATTATTATTATCATTATTATTATTTTCCACATTATTCACCCTCTTTTATACTTATACAGCGGCTCGTCTTTGGTGGAAATTCGACTGTATCTAAACGTTCTCGAGTCACTGTCCGGTTGAAAATTGTATGTTACCACCGAATAAATAAATTTGTTGCTTTTAGTCTTACCGCTCTTCAACCGACCTGTCTGACATGGTAGGACCTTAAGGAACAGTTGTTCCAGTCAGTATAGCTCGGTTGCTTCATCACGATAGGCAAGCCCGACCACCGCGTCAAGGTAGCAACAACGTCACCTATGGAGAAGGCGAGATATCCGTCTATCAATAAAAGGACGAGTATACTGCTCGGCAGTCCGTTCTGTTTTAATTTACGGCAACGAAACATGGCCATTAAGAGTAGAAGACACTCGTAGGCTACTAGTATTTGACCACAGATGCCTCAGAAATATTGCTGGAGTCTGCTGGGATCACCGGGTAAGTAATAGTGAGGTTAGACGCAGGGTATTAGGGGAGGATGGCTAATCAGTCGATGAGGTTGTGAATCTTCATCGACTGAGATGGTTGGGCCACGTGTTACGTATGCCCGAACACCGATTACCACGACGTGCAATGCTAACCGGTGTTGGAGATAGTTGAAAGAAATGTAGGGGCGGCCAAACCAAAACGTGGTATCAGTTCTTGAAGTCACTAACTTCTAGTCTGAGCCATATTGGTAGATGCAGACTACTTGGTTGGGGTACGCTTGACTATCGTAACCAATGGTTGGAGACTCTTGGTGACATGGCTCAGAATCGATCACAATGGCGTCGGTGTACACACTCCCTGTCCTCCCTTATACTAAGGGATTAAAGTCGCTTCATATCTTTCTTTCGATGAACTAATTCTTTCTTCCTGTACTATATCCTTATTGCAATCTTTCTTTTATATATTACCACCTCTGAATTAACTACTTTTATGAATCCGGTGTCTATCTTGTTGTGTTAATGAGGTATGGCAATTTGGACTGATGCATATATGTGCCTGGTCCTACGTTGTAGCTGACTGACTGACATTTCTTGAAATGCTCTGTATATCTTTTATGGTGGTCTGCTTGCAAGTCTGTATAAACGGAACCACCATGATAAATCATTCAGCTACACTTCTGTAAAGTTGTGTGAAGATAAACTCAGGTAGGTGATATCCAAGTGTTGTTTGCTGTAAAATAAATGTGCAGTGCTTTCCGTGTGATATCTAGGTTTTGCCGTTGTTCCTGATCATGAAGTACCGCTGGATAAGTTCTGTAATTGGGCATAGAATTTCGAGAGGTTCATATGAACCTATTGTAAGTGTGAACTTCGAGTGTTGAAATTCGTGATATTTTAGATATTAGCTTCCTCCAATTTCGTTTTCATTTTTATCTATTTTCTATCATATTTTTTTAAAAATTGGCAGTATGGCAGGTAGTATGGGGTTTCACAATGTCCTTTTGTCTGATTGTGAAGTGTTTTTATATGAATGTTGTCACTGTATGAATGCGCTCATGTAGTTGCTTCAAATACGTTTATTTTCTGTCATTTCCAGACACTGACATTTTTGCGTTCAACAATTATCCTACCTGATGATGAATGACTACGTCAATAAAATTGAACCGGAGAACACAAAGTATTCGTTATTTCAGTTACATCCAAGTTCATGTACTGCTATGGAAACTGAAGTGGAGGTATTTTTGTGACAACTATGTTACCTTGTATCCTTTCATAGATAACAGCCATGTGTTCATTTTCAGACTTACTATTTATTGGAACAAGCAAGGGGTATGTTGCTCAGTATGGCTGTTTTCTATCATGACTAAAGTTTAGTATCTCAACTGATTATTCAAGAGTTGTATGACAATAAAACATCATTTTGTTTCAGTAATGTTCTATCAAGGAGAATATTTGTAAATCTCTGATTTTTTTATATGTTAACCTAATCAGACTAAGCCTATTTCAAGGCTTGAAACTTCTTCCAAAAAAACTACACTTTCTATTTTCAGCGATGAAAATCTTACCTTATGTAACGCTGAAAAAATTGAGGTATGGAAATAGATTTTGTAAAACCTGTTTTATTGTTTCTAGATCATGAATTTTATTCCATCTTTCAAAGGCGTTTCATCATTCCATTTGTGCTCTTTCGATGATGAAAAAGAAAAGGTATTTTAATCATTTTCAAATTCGAATTAATGATGTGTATAATTATTACGCTAATTTAGCTGTGCATAGGATTTAAATCGGGTTTAATCCAACTACATCATATTTTTGTATCGACATGTATGCTTGTTTTTGAGACCAGGTTAACAGAAGTTCCACAGTCTCTTGTAAATTCATACCATTTTTGCTTGATTTAGTGACTTTTGTTTTAGTGCATCTCACCACAATTTTTATGTGTTGCATCGGACAGTAGTTACATATCAATAAATTTACGCACAAACAGTACTACAGAGTTGTTGCGTTCAGTAAAAGAACCAGTACGAAATTACATAGTCTATTTTACTCAGGTTTGTTAGAACACTAATATATTCTTATAAAAATTCAATACTTGCAGAATGAATTTATTGTTTCTGGTCCAGGATCATTGGGTATTATTGTCGATGCTAATGGTGTATCTCATCGTGCACCACTTCAGTTATCACCAAATATAGTAGAAGTTTTTGTGTGGAGAAATTATTTCTTCACTATTACTGACGAATTTTTTACCATTCACAAGTATGTGTAACTTTTAAAAGTTTTTGTAATTCTTTATCGTGTATCCATGTAATTTTTTTATAAGTCTAAAACATGTTTCTGACTATGACCTACTACAATGTTTTAAATCAAGTTTTACGTTTCGTATGAGTGTAATCATGCGGAGTCAATTCGGTGATCTTAAAATAAATACGTGTAAATAGCAAAATAATCAATTATCGGAACCAGGAAAAATGAGCGGAATAACTGTAAGGGCAAGGAACATATATATGTACAAGCAAAATTGTTGGCTTAATTTTTGTAATTTAAGTGGACTCGTGTGCTAGACTTGCCATTCCGTTCATCTTGTTAAGTAGAACCGCCGGGATTTCTGTAGGTGACAAAATTGTATCAACATATTAGACTGCTAATCGATGATGTAAAAGTTTATATATTCCATATTCCTGTTATTACATGTTCTGAATAAGCCTACTGTACAAGTCATTCCGTTGTTTCACCAATCTGCATAAACCGTCAAATTATTTTTCATTTTACTTCTATGTTGGTTAAAAATGTATGCTAAGAGTTGTAATCATATTAATTAATAATCCTTTGAAGTCAGTTTAGTTTTGGTCCTATGATATCATTGCAACCAAGCGAGACATTATTTTACTACTTGGGAGCAATCCTATTTCTTATCGATTTCTGTTGTCCAGGATAATACATTCTTTATTAGCATCTCAGTTTTCTGAGTCATATCAGATTCCAGCGGTAAAATAAGAAAAGCTGAATAGTGGATGCTAGTTCAAAAAATCATCGTACATACCATTGAGATAGTTGAACATATTGAATAACTTTGTTTTTTTATTATATAGTTATAATCAGTAACTTTTAGAAAATCTCTTTGAAATAAGTCACTTATGCTCTCAGAAGCGTTGTTTGAAATTTGAAGTTCCATGCAATTAAGGAAAAGGCCATATAAATCATACAGAATAAATAGCATTATAAGATTAACACTTTTGCGCTCATAAGATTTAGTTTTTGAACATAAGAATCATAAAAAACAGCTGGTATGCTTTGGTGTTTTAGTGAAATTATAAACTGCTGGTGTAAAAAATTATGTAAAAGTAGCTTGAATGTATCACTTTTCAATGTTTAATAGAATGATGGGATGGTGGTTGACAATCAAGTTTCAAACCTAAATCTCCGTCTAATCCTGTTTGGTAAACAAATAAATATCATTCGTTCTAAAACGAGGAACATACATTTTAGCTGTTTTCCTATCGAGGTAGGGATTTACTATGTCTTAAAAACATACCGTTGCGAAGAGATTTGTCCGATGATACAATAATTATATCCCATAAATCTGCTATACAGACACTAGAGGAACTCATTCATGATTGCTTACTTGATCTTACAGGATTAGAACAATATATAAACTCATATGGGAGAAACACAGTATCAGATTCCATTTGTAGTTGGGTGAAATATAACCCGACAAGTTTGCTGTAAAAAAGACATTTTTTATGCAGATAAGGACCGTACACCCAAAACTATTTTGTTAAATATCTGACGAAAAATAATTTGCAGTAGTGACTGTTAGTGGTTAAGATATTCAATTTACAGCCATCAATTCACAATTTTGTACATCGCTTCATCTATTTCAGTTTTGGGAACTATGTATTATCCGTAACCCTCACTTTTTTGTGGATCATATCCAAGTACCTTGTGAATGAGTTAAATTATTATTGATTATCTTCTTTCTAAGAAATCTTCAGTGAACTAAAAATATCTTCTGTTTGTATAATTGTAAAATCAGTTCATTGTCTGAATGCCTTCTATGTTTGAAGCGATTACGAGTTCGCCTAGTATGCGAACGGAACAAAGACTATGTGACCAAAGACCAGTAAGCTAGCTATTCTGATGAGTCCCAGCCCCGCTAACTAGAGATAGAAGTTCAAGTTCGAAACGGGGAAATATATTTCGCAAGCAGCCAGAAGCACGAGCGATAACAAACGGGCACAAATCAAACGTATATATACGGCATAAAACTGTCATTGGGAAGCGTTACAAAATAACATACTAAACGATACAACGAACCAATAGCGTTTAAGATCCTCCCAAATGGAAAATACGACATGAAGGTGAAAAGAGCGCTTCTGGCGCGAAAACAAGGGGATTCAAATTTTCGAAATAAAATTACACTAAAGTTAGAGATGCTATATCATTCTGACAGGTAGTATTTACTGATAAATTAACTTTATGGGTGGTCGTCTGCTGATGTACAATGAAATACTGGTATTTCTGTTAAATGTTATGGATTCTTTCTATACATCTTTCCAGTTTTCCAGTGACTATCTACGAAATGTCACCACAATTAAAAATATCGTCAATAGAAAATAGAATTATTTAAGATTTGACTGAAGAATGTTTAGAATTTTAATTAATTTCATTAAAATGATATCAGACTGTAGTCCTGTCCATCTTACGCCAGGAATTGGTGATGAAGATATAAATGAGACTATACTATCAATTATCATAGTATTAACAACCTCCTCATCCTAATCTCACATTTCTAAAACTAACATACCTACTACTCTCCTTTTATTCTAGCATCTTGACACAATCCCAGATACAAACAATAAATCTTCAAAAGCCATCTGTAGCTTGTTTTTCTGCTGATGCTCATTTGTTATACTTTACTGGAACATCTGACTGTAATACTGACACTACATCCATCAGAAATATTCAAGTCCTAGGACCAGAACGTTGGGATTTGATTGCACGGAGGTTCATCTTAACTGGTTGTCTTAAACAAGCTTTCCTTGTACAACAACAAGAACGAAATCGTCTTACTCAAGCCATGCAGTTGCAAGTTGAGAAATTCAAACATGAACAACAATTATTCGATAAGGTAAATTTACAATTAGACTCAGTTTTGTTGTAGGCTGTCATTTATCAATATGTTAGATAATTCACAATGTTTCTTTTTGATACAGTTTTATTATGGTTTCTGAATTTTAAATCTCTTAAACTATGCTTATTATTAACGTGGTAACTAAAGCAACTGTCCTTCACAATATATAAATTTATTCAGTTCATGGTTATGCTATCGGACCGGTTTTCATCGATGCCTATTTTAACCATATGGTTGAAAGTGGCAGGTGTTAGACCACATCTTCGGTGGACGTTTGCATGACACCTGTTAAACTTTTGTCTGCTATTCAGAAAATTTGATCGTCAATCTCTAAACAATGTGATTGATTAAATATCTCAACAACTTTCTATGCGAAATATTACCGTTTTAGATAGATGACTACTGATATCAGATCATTGGTGTCTTGAAACTGTTATTCGTGGATAAAATAATGGTAAGTGATTAGTGGTAACGTTAAGGGAAGAACTTTTAATGATACGTGTAAGTCACATCGTGTAGCCACTGATATTGTTGTGCGTGCTACTTATATTGATATAAGTAGTATATAACGTGAGTCAAAAGAACGTAATGTCTGGCAGCAGAAGACGGAGAAGATCAAGAAAAGAAGAGCGAGAAAACAATGGAATTTGTTAGAAACTGCATGAGCAATGAAATGCGAGACAATGGATTGATGTTTGCAACAGCAGCAGCCCGGTTTGATATGATAGAATGATATTTTGCAAATTAACGATTTACTATATGGTTTTTCTATTTTACCAAGTAATTCTGTAATTTGTCCTAAATACAATTTGGCTGTCCTCACCCGTGTTCTTCTTCACTACATTTGGTGTCGCTGCCTCCACTAAGGATGAAGATTCCATGGCCGAAGGAGTTTGAGGACGGAGATGTGCTGAGCTTCCTGAAGGAGTTTGAGGCCGTGGCGGAGCTGGTGGGAGTGAAGGAGCCGAAGGCGAAGTTGGTGGTGCTGGGGACGCTGCTGAGAGGCAGGGCGAAGGCTGTGTATGACAGCCTGGACGGTGCTGGCGGGAAGACCACATGGGAGGCAGTCACGGAGCGGTTGGCGGCGGAGTTTGACAGCCCAGTGGACAGGGAGGACGCGCTGCAGAAGTTCCGGTTGGCGAGGTTGCCGGTCGATGGGGACCCACTGGTGCTGGCTGTGGAGCTTACCAGATTGTTACGCCGTGCGCTGCCGAGTCTGGATGAGGAGTCGGAGGCACAGTTGTTGGCGTCACAGTTTATCGAGAGTGTGCCTGCCACCGTCTCCCAACAGCTGAAACTGGTGAACGCAGCGCAACCGATGGATATCAGTGAACTGGCGAAGGTGACTCGTCAGCTGATGACGCGAACAGTAGCTCCGGTCGGGTGCGGAAAGCAGGAGATGAGTAATGTCGAGAAGAAGATTGAGGAGCTGGAGCGCGAGATTGCAGCAATACGAGTGAACAATAAAAGGAACGATAAATGCTACGCTTGTGGAGGGACAGGACATTGGAAGATAAACTGTCCAACAAGACGAAGACGCAGATATGTTAGACGTTACAACGAGTATTCTTTCTATCCTAGGAATCTGGGGATTGTTGCGTTAGTAGACAGAGGGGCAGTATATACGAGAGTGAACATAAATGAGCGAGATTTAGTTTGTCTGATCGATACAGGTGCAGCAGTATCGTTAATAGGCAAAGAGCAATGTAAGAGAATCAAGCCGTGTACATTAGCTGTCCACACGATAGGGGGCCATATGTTAGAGGTGTTTGGCGTATCTAACAGTATCGTAAAAGTGGGGGATGCGGAGATAAATTTTCCGTTCGTCGTAACCACAAGCTTATCGAGACCGATATTAAGAGCAGATTTCCTAAGAGAAGTAAAAGCGATAGTTGACTTAAGAAGCGGTAAGGTGGTCACGAAATATGGTTCATTGACAATACACGAAAGTAGCGAAGTGGCTGAAATAAGAGTTGCAGCGGATGTCTCGTCAAAGAAACCAAACATTCACGAGTTATGCAAAAAGTATGCCAAACTATTCACTGGAGATGGGGAGCCGTATGGATTTTGTGACAGAGTAAAGCACGAAATACCGATAAAGAACAGTCGAGTAAATATATTTGCAACACGTCGTGTCCCGGTGCATTTAGAGGCCGAGGTAAATCGTCAGGTCCAGGAAATGTTAAAAGAAGGTATAATTGAGGAAGCGGACAGCCAATATAGCTCGCCGGTACTCTTGGTAAAGAAACCAAATTGAAAGTATAGATTTTGTGTCGACTTCAGAGAATTGAATAATATAACAGACCTGAATCCTTGTGCAATGCCAACAGTGGTGGAAACATTAGATCGGCTACAGAATGCCACGGTGTTTACAGTGCTGGATTTACGGTCAGGTTATTGGCAACTGCCTATAAAAGAGAGTGATCGGAGCAAGACAGCGTTTACTGTACGTGATAAACAGTATCAATTTAAACGAATGGCGTTCGGGTTGGCGGGTGCACCGTTCACGTTCAGAAGATTAATGACACTACTGCTCAAGAATCTAGATAATGTCGAGGTATATGGCGACGACGTAGTTGTGTACAGTCAAACAGAAACAGATCACATCAAGCATGTGGAAGCGGTCTTAAAGCGAATTGACGAATTTGGACTTCGGATTAATAAGGACAAGTCGCAGATAGCGAAAAGTAGCGTCACATTGTTGGGACATAAAGTGGGAAATGGAGAAATAAAACCATTGCCGGAGAAAATTCTTACCATAAAAAATATTGCAGTACCTAATTCGAAAAGGAAGTTGAGACAGTTCCTGGGAAGAGCGGCGTTCTACAGTCGGTTTGTCAAAAATTTCAACGAAATAGCAGCACCCTTATATAAGTTATTGAGCAGCACCAAGTTTACGTGGACTGAGACTGCCGAACAAACGTTCAACCGAATCAAAAACATGCTAGACGATCGCCAGATGACGCTTAGACTGCCTGAACCGGGAAGACTGTTTACAGTGGCCACAGACGCGAGTGATCATGGTATAGGTGCTGTGTTGAGTCAGGCTGATAGAGTGGTGGAATACGCGAGTCGCGTCCTCACACCTGCTGAACAGAAGTATTCAACCATCGAAAAGGAGTGTTTAGCGATCGTGTGGGCAGTGGAAAAATGGAGGCCATACCTTTTAGGTAGACGATTTCACATTGAGACCGACCATAAACCCCTGCAGTGGTTGAAAACAGCAAGAGACCCCCGAGGGAAGTTGGCGCGATGGATGATACGCCTGCAAGAATACGATTTCAGTATCGGCCATGTTCCAGGAAAAGAAAACGTAATGGCAGATTACTTGTCAAGACCAAACATGGAATCCGACCTGCCATTAACAGCATACGCGGTGAATAGTTTAGAGGGAGACCCATTAGAACTCGTCCGGCAGCAGAAAGCTGACCCTAACCTTCGAGAGGTAATCAGAGTGATAAAAGAGGGAGCAGACGTAGATAAACGAATAATGGACAAGGAGGTAATAACGCTGCTTCGGCAAAAGGACCGACTGAGAGTGAACTCATATGGAGTGCTGACCTGGCAGGACGATGATGAGAATTGGGTGGCGGTGATCCCGAAAGACTGGCGGTGTAAAGTGATACACGAGTGTCACCAGGTAGCACATACAGGCATCGCAAGAACGACGGACTTACTACGACAAAGTGCATGCTGGCCGAGCATGAGAGAAGATGTGGCTGAATACGTGTTAACCTGCCAGCAGTGTCAGCTAATGAAAAAGCGATCGATACACACAACCGCCATTACAGTCAATCCCAGTAACCGCAGTCGGTGATCTATGGTCGGTGGATGTGATGGGACCGTTTCCACAGACGGCGAGCGGTAACCAGTACCTGTTAGTGATGACGGAACATGCTACACGTTGGGTAGATGCCGTACCCATTGCAGACCAGCGGGCAAGGACAGTGACCGAGGTAGTAATCCGGCATATTGTAGCGTGTCACGGAATACCGAAGATGATATTAACTGACCAGGGTCCCTGTTTTGAAAGTGACGAGTTTAAAGCCCGTTTAAAGCAGTTTGGCATCAAGAGAATACGAACTACACCGTATCATCCTCAGACAAACGGGCTTACAGAGAGAAACAATCGGACGTTAAAGGAATGGTTAGCATCAAAAGGAGGGAATTGGGAGAAAGAGTTACCATTGATTTTGCTGGCACATCGTTCCTCCACACAAGGAACAACCAAGAAGTCACCTTTCTTGCTCATGTATGGCAGACAACCACGACTTCCAATGCATAATAAGACCTGGCCACAACAACAGAAGTGGACGACAACAAGGTTAAGAAAAGAGAGGAGAGAGGCAATAAGGAACGTGGAAAAGAAACAAATATCAGACACAAAGAAGGCAGAACAACAGAGGAGAACGTGGAAACCCTTTGCAGTGGGGGACCTAGTAAAGTGTAGAGAACGAAAAAGTAACATAGCAGGGGGAGCAGGGTCGGGGAAGCTGGCCGCAAAATGGGAAGGACCGTATGTTATCGCGGAGAGACGCGGCTCGGTCTACACGATCCGGAGAGAAGACAAGCAGAAGCGCGTAAATGCTAGTCAACTACAGAGATGGTTTCAAGATCATCATGGGTGTGAATCACGAAAAGCACCAAAGAACACAGCGGTACGGAGATCAGAAAGACTACGACAGCAACTTGTTAAAAGGGGGGACGAGTGTGGTGCGTGCTACTTATATTGATATAAGTAGTATATAACGTGAGTCAAAAGAACGTAATGTCTGGCAGCAGAAGACGGAGAAGATCAAGAAAAGAAGAGCGAGAAAACAATGGAATTTGTTAGAAACTGCATGAGCAATGAAATGCGAGACAATGGATTGATGTTTGCAACAGCAACAGTCCGGTTTGATATGATAGAATGATATTTTGCAAATTAACGATTTACTATATGGTTTTTCTATTTTACCAAGTAATTCTGTAATTTGTCCTAAATACAATTTGGCTGTCCTCACCCGTGTTCTTCTTCACTACAATATGAACTCAAATAGCGTAGATATGCGTGTATCCCATGTCACGATGCATAAACCACGATAATAAACATTGATTGATTACAACTGGGGGACAAAACCCAAATATCTGATAAGTTAATTGACTTATTTTCCACCACACATCTGTTAAGTAGTAGTCAGATTATAATCCCGCTTTAGTCTTAACTTGAAGGTTACTTTCCCAATCCTTTAGAGGATTAATGAGAATGTTGAAACTAACATAAATCTTAGGAAAATATCCGGGAAATATTATGCAAGGACATTTGTATTATAATACGCTCACAACTGTGATATGGCTTCAGTATGATTTCCAATAGTTTTGCAGCTGTTATCATTTCATAAGTAGCTGGATAATTTGTTTTTATACTGTGTTCTTCCTACTACTTATTTTGTCTATTTATTTCTACTTGGCTTTTATTAATAACATTCATTTTCTCAACTATTCACTGATTGTAGTGATTTTTGTCAATCTCTCATCATGCTTATTTCCTGTTTTATTTTATTGTGATAGTTTATACATCTGTTTATTCCTTTTTCTAACGATTGTTCATGATTATCAGATAAATTGTTACATCACATAAACAAAGTGAATCATCAAACTATACAATTATGCGTGCATTTAACTAAATTAGGAATTATTTAAACGTCGGGTTTAACAAAGATTTAGGAAAGTGTGTATCCAATCGACTTTTTTTGTTTTTATTCATGGGTTTAAACCATTATGTTGCTGTCTGACCAAGTACTTGGCTTTAATCTACACTGTGTGATGGTTAGTAATACTAATCACCTAGACAAACCGAAATTGGTGGAGTGGAATTCAAACCTACGACCCACTTGTTTAAAACATAGTAATTTAACTATTTTACTTCACATAGTAAAGTTTTTAGTTTCAGTGAAACATATTGACACATCAATTTTCAAAGCTGCTTGAATATATTAATCATTATGTGCTGTTTTATTTCTGAAAATATTTTGTTATTGCCTTTTGTTTCAATTAGTCACTGTAATGCGTACAAATTTCAAACAATCATTGTTATATCACCCTTTGATGTGGTGCTTATTACTACAACTGTCTTTGCTGTTCTTCCTTTTTTTCTCTGTATAGATTCGATAGTTTCTGTGTGACTTTTCATAACACTTGAGTAGATTTATTCTAGTTGTCAGACAAATATTAGTTGATTAGACAGTATGCAAATATTAAGTCACTTTTACACCTTATAAATCTATATTTCTCATAGGTAATTGCCGCTTTCTATGCATGTACCGCTGTCATCTGTATTCGTGTTAATTATATTCGCGTATGTTATTATGTACACTTCGTTTGTTGTTCATCTACTAGCTTACATTACTCTTTGTCTGTTTAAACTATATAAGGTGAGTCACAAAACTGAGTTGACTTGTTACTAACCCCAATGTTTTATCCGATCAGTTTACACTCATAGTTTTTCTCCAGCATAGCGTCTGTCAAACAAATGATTCCAACTAACATCTTGTGTTTTGACTTTTGGTGTACTGTTGGATTTGCGTGTTAAGTCGTAAGAATATATTCGCAGATTAACTTATAATTCATCAATCACTACAGGGCTGTAGTTTCAGTGAGTCGTGGAACTTTTATCTAATATTCTAAAGTTAACTAAGGTTATTGAAATATTTATGTTTTTTGGGCCGATTAATTTCCTTGTCACTTTCATATCTTTTAGTGTTGTGATAATTAATAACAATACGATTTCCGATATTTTGCTTTTCCAGAGACGTCAACGGGTACTTGGACTTTTAGGATTTTATCATTTTGAAAAGGGCGAACTAGATAAAGCAGCTTCCTACTTTGAACAGAGCACTATAGACATACGTGAAGTGAGTTACTTCCCTTTATATAATCCCTTTATTGTTATTATTATATTTGAAGTGGTTCTTATTTCGGTATATTGATAATTAGCCTATTAGGCTGTGATCTGTGAAATTAATCATGTCAGGAATAAGACAGTTATTGTCACTCCATAATTAGATAGACTGAAGCTGTGACTAACTATATACTACCACTAGATTGCAACTCAGTGGTATAAATGTCGTAAACTCAAGTGAATCAGCTCTTTCATTTCTGTTGGTTTCTTAATGCTTTTTAAGCTAAAACCAGTCTGTGTTAAAAACTCTTCAAATAAATGATGCAGTTATTTAGAATGAAACTTACTACGTTTTATTACAAATTTAATATTTAGTCTATTACAGTAAACTGTAATGGGATATATTCTTTTTTTGAGCGGTGGGTCAGTGGTGAAAGCCTCAATCTACCTCGATTTAAACAAACGAGTAGTATCACTAGCACCCCCAAATACAGTATAGCTCAAAAGTGAGTGAATTAACTTATTATTGGTTAGACGGTAAATATCATTTCATTGTTTCTAATTTGATTAGAGAGTTTATCTATTAATTCAGTATCAAACAAACATAAACTCGTGGAATCCCTACCTTCAACATATTATTTATCACTAGAAGCAAAAAGTTGTTTTGAGTTTAATCGGCAACTGTGATAACTACAGGGGCATCACTCTTCTCTCAATACCGGGAAAAGTCTTCAACAGGGTATTGTTAAACAGGATGAAGGACTCCGTAGACTCCCAACTTCGAGACCAACAGGCAGGACTCCATAAGGATAGATCGTGTACAGACCAAATTGCAACTCTACGGATCATTGTGGAACAATCAATTGAATGGAATTCATCACTCTACATCACCTTCATTGACTGCGAAAAGGCATTTGATAGCGTGGACAGAACAACACTATGGAAACTTCTTCGACACTACAGCGAGCCTCGGAAGATAGTCAATATCATACAGAGTTCATATGATGGATTAAACTGAAAAATCGTGCATGGAGAACAGTTAACAAGCTTGTTCGAAGTGAAGACCGGTGTCAGGCAAGGTTGCTTACTCTCACCCTTTCTCTTTCTCCTGGTGATCGACTGGATCATGAAGACGTTAACATCTGAAGGAAAGCACGGGATACAGTGGACATCTAGGATGCAGTTGGACGATCTAGACTTCGCAGATGATCTGGCCCTTCTATCGCAAACGCAACAACAAATGCAGGAGAAGACGAACAGTGTGGTGGCAGCCTCAGCAGCAGTAGGTCTCAATATACACAAAAGGAAAAGCAAGATTCTCCGATACAACACAACATGCACCAATCCAATCACAATTGACGGAGACGATTTGGAAGATGTAACATCTTTTACACATCTGGGCAGCATCACTGATGAACACGGTGAATCTGATGCAGATGTGAAGGCGCGGATCGGCAAAGCAAGAGCAGCATATTTACAACTGAGGAACATCTGGAACTCAAAGCAACTGTCAACCAACACCAAGGTCAGGATTTTCAATACAAATGTCAAGACAGTTCTACTGTATGGGGCAGAAACCTGGAGAACTACGAAAGCCATCATCCAGAAGATACAAGTGTTTATTAACAGTTGTCTACGCAAAATACTTCAGATGCATTGGCCGGACACTATTAGCAACAACCAACTGTAGGAGTGAACAAAGTAGATCCCAGTGGAGGAATAAATCAGGAAGAAGCGCTGGAAGTGGATAGGACACACATTGAGGAAAGCACCCAACTGTGTCACAAGACAAGCCCTCACATGAAATCCTCGAGGCCAGAGGAAGAGAGGAAGACCAAAGAACACATTATGCCGGGAAATGGAGATAGACATGAGAGAAATGAACAAGAATTGGATTGAACTCGAAAAGAAGGCCCAGGACAGAGTGGGTTGGAGAATGCTGGTCGGTGGCCTATGCTCCATTAGGAGTAACAGGCGTAAGTAAGTTTAATGTCACAGCCGGCATATCCACCTTTGTATTCGATTGTTGAATTCCACTAATTCTTAGTATTATTATTACAATTCATATATCATCTTACTGCACTTTTTTGAAATTGAGTGGATTATTTCAGTTTATCAGTACACATCACATGCGATGTTTTACGGATATTTTGTTTAATTATGACATCAATCAAGACTTATAAACATAGGTTTATGAATGGTTGTACATAAGTATGAACGCAACTTGCTTCTATTTATATATTACAATTTATTTACTGCTTAGGATGTGAAAATTTAAAAAAACGTTTGTTTATTCCTTCTTTTCTGTAATCAGATTCTGTTTCGGTATTCTGATCTCTTGCCAAAAGGTTGTTATTTTATGCCAAATTGGTTTTACAAACTACATCAGACTAATCCCGAAGCTAATCATGATAATGACGATAATGCTCAAACGTCTGGAATTAATTTGACTAGTGATTTGTGCATTTTAAGAGCTGCAGAAGATTCAGATAATGATGATCATGATCTAACAATTAGTTCATCATGGTTATTAAAATATGAAGAATTCCTTTTCAACTTTTTGCGTAAACATCATAAAAGTAAATTTGTTGAGAAGCATTTACATGTGAGTATGGTTGAATATATCATTATTGTCATTTCCTCGCTTGTTAAATACATTTTCACATAATTAATTATGAATACTATTGAATTGTGAACCAATAAGTTCACAAATAGGTATTGAATTGCAAACCGATTAGTTTGGCTTTTTCAGTCGATGGCTTTAGTCGTCACCCAGTAAGTTTAGTCTACAAATCGTAGTGCAATCGTGGGAGAATGTGGAATTGGTTACTAACTGGTCATTTCACCTCTAATCATTGGTAACTTTCATAAGTTTAAAGAAATTAACTACTGGGAAAAGTTGCATAAATTTAAAGTACATTATACAAGGGAATTTTCAAAAACTACTGCTACTATTCGTTACTTACAAACCAGTTTATCGAGAAAACATTTTACTTCGTAAAACTGAATATTTATCTAAGGCTTTACATCAACACTTCTTGGTAATCAGTCTACTTTTTTTATTCACACGACATCTATAAATTGGTGTGAACCGCTAACAGAAACCGTTACCCAATTTAGGTGTTGTGTTCTCTGAGCTGGATGATTCAATGGTGAAACTTTGATTTCTGTTTACTAAATACATTTTCTCTGCAGTATTCGTCTTGGAGTAACCAATATTTCTTATAGAGTAGTTGTGCAACATGTTGTAGTACTTTGAAATGTGTGCGATTATTGATCATCGAAGATATTTACCGGTAAACCGAACGTTTAAAGTTTTTAACTGTTATCTTTATCATGTTCTGAGTTACCTTATTTTAAACTTTACAGTAAGTTCATTTTTCTCTTTCAGTTTGTAGAAACGGCTTTAGTTAAACTGTACGTTCGATTACAACAGGCTGGTATTCAACCATATCCCTATGAATTAATCATTGATACGTCTTCTAGTGATTCTCAGTCAGGTGAAGGTGGTCTCACTAAGTCAACTAACAATAATAATCAAGGTTTAGTTGATCTGATTTCAAGCTTGATACACATTGACGTGGAAGATTTAACTGTCTACTTAGAAAATAATAATGCTTACCATGCTTTGGCGCTTATTTATCGTTGGCAAGGTAACCTTTCAGGTGCATTGGAAATATGGCGAAAGTAAGTAGGGGTAGTTTTAACATCTCATTTATTCTTGATTAACCTGTATATTTACTTGTCTACCAGTTAGATCTTTCTATACATATGATGCTGTGATTTACAGCGAAATTAATTAGGTGTTATTAAAAGTCGGCTTTCGTTTTACCGCAGATCTTTTTTTGTTTATTTACTGTCTTTGCAGATAATATCGTAATACTGTGAATTGGTATACAGGTTACCTAAATCATACTTAATCAGTAGACAGTCGGCGTTTATATATATGAGAAGTATATATTTATATATAATAATGGCTCATAAATTAGCCATAGAAGTTACCATTTCTTAAGTCCTTCGGATATGCCAACTAAAATACAAATAAAGGAATTTATAAAGTTTCTGAATAAACAACTGATTTAACTGTGGCGACTATTGAATTTTTGTCTGTTTTGTTTATCATAACATTTTGTTTTTCTTATTCATGTTGATTGTCTCTTAGTTCTACTCAAAAGTGGAATGAATTTACTCGTACATTTAAAGAAATTTCTATATTTTTTTATAGCTTTTTTTTCGAATACATACATTAATATGAATCAGTAAAATACATTTCAAGATATGTTGGCTAAATTCCTCGATTTATGTAATTTATTTTTAGACTAGTTTACAATGAACTAAATGATTCTAGTTTTCCAGGAGTAGAATTTTATATTTCTATACTATTGGAGTAAGTTTAAAAAGTTTCTATTTCTTGTTTTATTCATTATTTGCATTGTACTGTATTTTACGTATTTTAATGAACTGTATAAATGTAATCACTCATACTTTGAAACATGTTATTATATGTTGGATAATGACATGAGATATCAGGAGCTAGTCGAATGTAAGATGTTGTTTGTTCTTGATATAAATTCAATCAAACTTATCCATTAAATGTGTTTTTAGTAAAACAGTAAATGGATGTTTACCGGTTGTAAAGAAATTAAATCGACTAAAATATTTGAAATCTAACAAAGGTTTTTGTAAACTCATGGTTTTTATAGTAGCACTACGATTCAGAATTCATGGTATATTTTATACACCGTCTATTTTGTTTACTTCTATATGAATGAAAGTTAATAATGATGCTTTTACCTACTTAAGCATGTTTTACATTTTAGCTTATCCGCGCATAATTCAACTGACTCTCAGAAACAATCACTTTATAAGGGAGCGGCTATTCATTCGTCAAATGATGTAAATTATGAGTTCTCTGTTTATGCTGAATTAGTTTGGAATCATTTTATGCAAGCTTTAACAACTAATCATGAGATTATAGCTGAACAGCTCATGCTACGTTTTCCTATTCCCTCAAGTTATGTTAATTCATCATGTGAATTGTCTGTTATTGAAGGCAGTACAACCGAAACGTCCTTGGAAAGTAGCCTTGCACCATCCCAAATTCTATCACCTAATCATATTATTCAAAGTCTTATTTCTTCATATCCAAATATGACAATGACTTATTTGAAACATTTGTGTTCTTCTCTGCCCAATTGTGTAAGTCCTCTGGTCTCTTGTAAATGACTGGTCATGAAAATATTTCTGAGAAAAATCTCAGAATGCACAATCGGTGTACTGCGCTTTATTTTTATAGGATTTAATGCATTTAGCATGTCTTATGTTGATTGTAATTTTCGGATTTTAAAACTTTTTGTAAAGTTGCACTGATAGTTGTGATTATGTTTTGAATGGAAACAGTAGTATGAAAAGTCTAACTACGTGTGTGCTTGTGTGCAGTGTGAATGTCTGATATTAAACAAGAAGTTGACAGCGAGAGTGTTGGAAACAATTGAGAGAGTTTTTAGCATAGATGAATGTATATAGTGTTGAATCCTTGGTTTGGATGGTTCAAATGGGATAGCATGATTAGTACTTAACTTCTATTTAATTAAGAATTATAGAATCATTCTTTAAATGTGCAGTTAGTTCCTCCTGATAATCCTGTTGTTAATCGATTGATCCTCGATGACTGTTGTTGTAGGCTGTCCTCTTACCATGTAATTGATTAACGTTATGGTTACCAGTTAACAGATTAAACTTGTGTCACTATCTCCATTGACTACGGATTGACTTGAGGTTTCAAAAAGTTCCCAGTATTCTTTAAGTTTTTGTGGTTTTCTATGTCCATCGATTTAAGTAACAACATATTGTTGTCTATCTGCTAATCTTTATGAATAGGTGTCCGATCTAATAGTTTTCGTACTTGAGACAATCTATCTTGTCGAGCCTGCTTCCCCTCATTGTTGCATCATTTTTTTGTATAAAATAGACTGCAGGGATTGGGATGGTTTGCAAATAACTCTAATTTCAAGTGCTTCTAAAACCGTGATAGTAATTTCTGGACAGAATTTTCCATGGGACGAAATGATTTATTCAAATTAGTTCAGTATCATCAATATTGTTTACTTTCTCTCTTTATTGAACACGTTAGTAGAATATAGATTGAATTAAAGCGTGTTCCTTACATGGGTGTGTTTTGGCATGCTAATTAGTTGAGAAAAAAACAATCAGCGCCAGTATACACTTGGAGAAGACTGTAGAATGTTCTGTAAAAATTATATATGTACTATCATTTTTCTTTTTGTGATTCTTACTTCTATTCACCCTTGTTTATTTGGAATACAATTACTTTCCTGTTCAACCGTCTTCCGATTTGGTGACTTATCGATTGAAGTTGTGTTCAAGATCAAGCAACCCGGGTAGCTGGGTCGTAATAAGAGAGTTCATAACACAAGTTACCTAGAATTGAGACTTGAATGTTATTGAAAGAATATTTCTCAATGTTTATCCTATATGACCTATTTTGTTAACCTAGTTTTAGTTAGCTATAAATGATCTTTTTAATATTCATTCTTGCTAAAATATTATTTATTCATGGATTCAACTTACCACACTTCTAAGTAGCATAGCTTAAAAAAAGTAAAATTGAATTTGAAGAGAAGAATAGGATACTGGGGCGATAAGGAAGTTTTAAATTGTCGAGGGTTCGCATTAAATTAAAGATATTGTCCCATTGAGTGGTTTATATAGATTTATTTAGTGTGAAGGTGGTTTTTTCTGAGTTTCGGAATCTTCGAAATCCGAGGCTCATTGGATTTCTTTTCTATTTAGTTTTGGAATGTCTCTTCTACCCTACCAAGCGTCTTATTCGAGACCTCCAGGTCTTTCAGTGAGCTCATTACCTTTGAGTTTTGATTCATTGATTTTATGGTTGAAACTGGTGAAACCAGTTAGTGTCAATCTGTGGTAAAAATAATTTTCACATTATAAGGAACTGCGTTTATACTTATTACAATCTGTAGAATAGTTTTTACTGCATATCCTCATAAGAAACGTAAGATTTCAGTTGTATTGATGCTAATATACAGTCAAGACATTGTTGTTTTCAGAGTTTTATATTTTCTCATGTCAAATATATTAATCGAATACCATACTACTATGAGTACGTCACAAAATTTGCAATTTTATGATTTAGTACTCCTCTTTACTATGAAACTCATAAATACTACTTATTTTGTTATTATCTTTACTTCAAATACAAACCCACTTCTATTTTTATGATGATCTTTATTTATTTATTTTGTATTTTAGCATCCAGAAAATCATAATCTGTTAGGCAAACTTTATTTAAATACCCTATTAATGAAATTAAGGAGTACTGACAATTTATCTGATGATGAAATGAAAAAACAAATCCGTAAATTGAGGTAATCCTTTTATTTCTTTGAGTTTATTTACTAGCAAATCTTGTTAAATATTTCATAAAGCTTATTAGTATGGTACTTCAACAATGGCATCAAATAACTGCATTGATATAAACTGATTGACTGTCAACGGAAATCGTATGATTGAGTGTGAATTTTACTGCCTCCTGCCAACAAGCTGTTGTAAATTGGCTCACCAAAACGTATTCTAAAATGAATAAAACCAGTGGTAGTAATATTGATATTTTGAAGCCACGTTCTTTTTACGCATAGACAGTCCTTATACTATGGCTTATTTTTCTAATTATATTATTCTCATCGTCAGGTTCGTTTGAAATAATATATGTTATCTGTTGTTCTGTTAACTGGTGAATGGAAGTTGTGTATAAGGTGATAAGTGAATGAAATGGATAACGATGCAAATCGGTAATCACGTTGAAGTTTATGTATGTCTGTGTGCATTAGTTAGTGATACTACTGAGTTGAAAGGAAAACGATTAGGCAACTTACTGACACTCCAAAATATCAAAAGCAGTCGGTGGATCATTATTCTAGTGATTAATGAATTTTTGAATATTAAAGATTCCCATTGTGAAAATTAGAACAACACATATAAGCGAACAATTGTTTTCAATTAGATCGTCATCAGGCCATGATCTAAAGCCATGTATCGAATTGATTTACCTTTGAAAGTAAGTTCGTACCTTTTAAAAGTTCCTGGTAGTCTTCACTCGGTATCTTAATAAGAAAGATTCACGTTTGAAGTGGGGTTTACCATGTTCATGTCTCAATGAAGAAGTTCACTTTCTGAAATGTGAGTATACTATAATTTTTTACAGCTTAAGCTAAAATTGGAATACTGTATAGGGGGTTGGTAAAGATTGTTGGGTTTTATGGTTAATATCACGAACCAGCCTTAATCAAATAAACATTTAAAGTTAGGAAACACTGGACAGATGTTTCGTTCTAATGTGGAGCTCCCGATAATTAATCATTCATAACTCCATTAGAGATCGAGTCTAGGACCTTCAGGTCCCACGGCGAGTACTTAGTCTTTAAACCACTGAGCAAGTATCTAATGGTTTACATGTTTAACTTGAATCTATTCTCATAATTACACAGCCATCCTTCAATTTTATTGATGGGTAACTGCCTCACACTCTTCATGGTTGAGATCCACTGGTCACGACTGATTACTGAAACTCCGGGAATTACCTCAGAGTTAGTCACTGATCAACACATGGTTATTACCATTGAAATTGAGTAGGTCAATTTAGCGTAAATTCAGTCAGTTTTAAGAATCACTGTACTTATTTGAGATTGGATGATCATTGTCATAGACATTGGTTGTATTTAATTAATCACCTGTTTATAACAAGTAAAATACTTGGCATAGGAAGGCTTTGAGACATATCTTACGTCACACGACATTGTGAAGAATCGATATATTGAAAATTATTTCGGAAAAACTGATAAAATTCAGGATTCACGGATAGAATCCAAGTAAAAACACAATTAAGATCATAAATTGGCCATGAGCTATATGGAAGCTATTTAACCGACATCCCCTTCAAGATGTTTTAAAATGACAATGCTCACAGCTTTATTATTTTCATTATGTCCAGTCACATATTTCTGAATGTCTGCACTTCTCATATCCTGTTACTCGAGAATGCAACAAAAATAATACGAATCTTTTTCCAATATTAAATCTTACATTTTTGAATTAAATCTATCTCACTCACTTTTCTACTACTACTGGGATTGTTACTACTTTTACTATCCAGGGAGTTGTTTCGATAATTTTATCTCACTGTGCTTACGTGGTATGGACAACCTGCATCGATGAATATGTGTTCCAGGTTCTATAATACATATGACTGACTGACTAATTAGTTAAACAAACATTATGAAAAAATAGGAGTTTCATGGGCATTTTTCCACGATAACATATCTTAAGGAATTTGACTTACTGGTGGTAAATAATCCCATAAACTGCTAATCATAATCAGACAAATTCATTTTATGTTGAAACAGTAGAGTAAACAACATTAGCATCATATGCTAATTATTATTGGCAAATTGGACGAAATGCTAAAATTTGACAGTAATTATACATAAAAAGTTATCATAGTGAAATCATATACACATAGTTCTCTTTATCATTTTGAGGATAGCAAAATGAAAGATTTGAGCGAAATAACATACATTTATTTCATTTCGTTTGATTCCTACCAGCGGCTTACAACCCGTAATATTTAAAAATCCTAATTACAAAATGGGTTCAAATTACTTATATGATAAATTTTGATCGGAGTTTTTTTTAATGTTCACTTATCAGTGTAGTATAGCAAGGGTGTGACTGAGTCTTGTTATGTTGAGGATGCTAGATCCCCAGAAATCACTTGGTAAACGTCTCATTTTTTAAATTTTACCATGAAAATTTGAATTTCTCATTTTCGCGCCAAAACATCAATTTCTACCCTCAGTTTGTATTTCCCCTCAGGAAGGACTTTAAATGTCATTGACTCGTTTCCTCTTTCAGTGCGCTATTTTGTGACGTTTTCCAAAGACAATTGTGCTGCATGTATACTCATGAGTTGTGTGCTTGTTCGTTCGTGCTTCCGGGCTGCTTGTGGAATATATATTTTCTCGGCTGAATCTGGTCTTCTCCCTCTAGTTAGTTGGGCTGTTGCACAGTGGAATAGCTTAACTTGTCCTGTTGTTGTGTTGCTGATTTTCGTTCTGTTAGCCTGTCCTAGGTGATATTGTAATCTCCTCGAACGTAGCATATTATTACAAATAGCATTTTAATGTTATCAAGTATTTTTCAATCATAATAAATTTAGACATAAAAGCAATGTGAATGTAGAACAAGTCAATAATTTGATCGGAATAAACATACATTATTTATATCTGTTTTTGAATATTTTGGTCGTTGCTTTTTTTTTTACCAGAATTTGGTTTCGTGATAATATATTCAAAAATGCAAATTATCGTGTAATATAATAAAATTGTTTGTAAATATGAGTAATTTTACAAGCGATATTAAAGATTATGAATGTAGCATGTCATCGAATTTTTAATTATATATAAACTGTCTTTGATATTTACACTATAGAATCAGACATTCTTTTCGATTATTTTCATCAATATAGTGATAATTCATGTCAGTCAGCTACAACGTAGCACCAGGCACATATATGCATCAGTCCAAGTTGCCATACCTCATTAACACAACAAGATAGACACCGGATTCATAAAAGTAGTTAATTCAGAGGTGGTAATATATAAAAGAAAGATTGCAATAAGGATATAGTACAGGAAGAAAGAATTAGTTCATCGAAAGAAAGATATGAAGCGACTTTAATCCCTTAGTATAAGGGAGGACAGGGAGTATGTACACCGACGTCATTGTGATCGATTCTGAGCCATGTCACCAAGAGTCTCCAACCATTGGTTACGATAGTCACGCGAACCCCAACCAAGTAGTCTGCATCTACCAACATGGCTCAGACTAGAAGTTAGTGACTTCAAGCACTGATGCCACGTCTTGGTTTGGCCGCCCCTACATTTCTTTCAACTATCTCCAACACCGGTTAGCATTGCACGTCGTTGTAATCGGTGTTCGGGCATACGTAACACGTGGCCCAACCATCTCAGTCGATGAAGATTCATAACCTCATTAACTGATTTACCATCATTCCCTAATACCCTGCGTCTAACCTCACTATTACATACCCAGTGATCCCAGCAGATGTCAGCAATATTTCTGAGGCATCTGTGGTCAAATACTAGTAGATTACGAGTGTGTTCTACTCTTAAAGGCCATGTTTCGCTGCCGTAAATTAACACAGAACGGACTGCCGCGCAGTATACTCGTCCTTTTATTGATAGACGGATATCTCGCCTTCGACAAAGGTGACGCAAGTTGGCAAAAGCCAAGCGAGCTTTTCGAATCCGTGCTGAGATTTCGTCAGACACCAACCCATTAGGGCTGGTCAGACTTCCAAGATAAGTGAAGTTGTCTACGCGTTCGACCACTTCACTCCCTATTCTTAGTTCAGACGTTGACGCAGACCAGTCCTGAAGCAACAACTTGCATTTAGAGAGAGAGAAGCGCATTCCAAACATTCTGGCATTGTTGCTCTGTGCTACCAAAAGACTCTGCATTCTATCAGCGTCTTCATCAAACAGAACTATGTCATCTGCGTATTCTAAGTCGATAAGTGGACCTCCTGGAAGGAGATCGAGAATCGAGAATTCAGTAGACGAGAATGTTATTTCCATCAATACGTCTATGATGAAGTTAAACAGAAATGGAGAAGGTGGACAGCCTTGACGGACACCACTTGAGGTTACAAAAGCAGATGACAGTTCGCCATAAGCTCTGACTCGACTGTTAGTGTTCGAGTAGAGAACCTTTACAAGGTTTATGTACTTCTGAGGTACGCCTTTCAATGACAGATACTGCCACAGAATCTCGCGGTCTACGGAGTTAAATGCTGGAACTAATCCATCTGGACCAGCTGCCCTTCCTCGTTTCAGATTAACTATAGCCTTTTGAACTTCTGCTAGAGTTGGGGGACCTACTTCAATGTTCCATTCACACTGTGTGGGAATGGGTGGTAGTTGCAGAGTAGCTGAAGGCCAGCTGAACTGTTCTCTGAAATGTTCCGCTCATCGTTCTAAACGTCTGGACTGAGAGCAGATGAGGGTGTCGTGTTTTTCCGAAATAATCTCACTTACACTTGACTTATTAATTCCAGTTTCTTTTATTAGTCTGTAAAGCTGTCTTGTGTTCCCTATAGTCGCCGCCATTTCCATCTCTTTTGCTTTCGTTACCCACCACTGCTCACGGTCGTTTCTTAGACTTCTTCTTAACCTAGATCTGATTTGTTGTCGCTCTTCATCATATTCGGAACCTGATGGGACGAGTTTACGAGAAACCATCAGTGCAATAGACCTTGAGGAAATCCATTGGTTCTTTGTAACCCTGTGGTTTAAATCATTAATAGATGTCACTGCTGTTTCCACAGCTGTTTGTATAGCTTTCCAAGCAACATCTGGGTCAGCCTCGTCTTCACAACTACCTAAGTGTGACCTCAGTTGTTCCTGGAACCTACTTTTGGTTTTCTCGCTACTCAATTCAGTTCTAATGGGTCTTTTTACCGTAGCTTTTTGCGTCCAGTGAGGCGCAAGCAGATGCGTGCCCGTATTAAGGCATGGTCGGAGTCCAAGCAGATACTCCAGAATGAGCGACAATCTTCTACCGACCCTCTCCAACGATGACTGATGGCAATAAGGTCTATTTGAGTCCATCGTTGGTTTGGTGTAGGGGGTCGCCATGTTAGACGATGTCTCTCCTTATGCTTAAAATTTGTGTTTGCTAAAGATAAACGATTGTCTGAGCATAGTTGCAGCAGACGATCACCATTATCTGTTCGCTGTGCCGGAATACTAAAATACCTACCTAAATGCCTTTCTGTTTGGTTTAAACTACCTATCTGGGCATTAAAGTCACCTGCTACGTGTACTATTTCTGAACGTTTAGCTTTCTGAAGAAGTTCAGATAGGCAGCGTAGGCTGAGACGACAAAAAGGCAACGACGTGTGTCCCTATCCTTCGGAGTTCTTACGGAGCCGTTTAGCCGGACAGCACATAAACGACTGTTAACGGGGATCCACTCTAACAGTGCTTGTTCCCCCTCATGCTTAGTGCTATCCCTACTCCTGCCAGCCCACGAGAGCTGGCCATCGGGTCACCAGATACACGAAGGGTGTATCTCGTTGGCTCTCCGTTTTGCCGAGGTGAGGTCAAATGAATGACCACACTGGAATCCTGTATGCGTGTTTCGGAGACACAGCACACGTCAATGGTAAGAGACTCTAGGGTTTTAGCCAAGGTAGCCTGTTGTCCGATTTGACATAGAGTGCGTACGTTGAAGGCTCCAATGTGTAGTTTGGAGCGAGGTTTCAGTAGACCTGGGACAGTGTTTTGAGCACTAGAATCGTCAGCTATGGTGACACTTGAGGAGGAAGCCGAAAGAGGAAGTTTAGAGTTGAAAGTCTATGTAGGAGGAATAATAGGAATTGAAGAGGAAGGTTGATTATGAATACAGTGGTCTTGGGTGCTGTTAGAGTTATGAGGGCGGCTATCACTTCCCGGTTGCCCACACCGTGGAAGGGTTGTTCTGGAGGTACCTGAAAAGGAAATTAGATTAGAGGTGATCTTAGTGACCTGAGAGCGCGACCGCAGTGCCCAAGGGACAACTGCTTGAGGTCGGTCACACGACCTTTTCATGGGTATTTTTGTGTTAGCTCCGTACTTATTGAGACCTCACCGCCGGAGACGGATAACCGTGAGATATGGCGAGGTGTGCATTTTTAGGGTCGACCTTTTCTAACCCCACCCCTTCTTATGGGAAGGCAGCATCGCTGTCATGCTGGTTTTCTGAAGGAAACACCTTACTGCTGTCACACCTCTGTACAGTCAGCAGTACGACTTCGCCTTCAGACCTTGGGTTTGTTGCTTTTAGTCTTACCGCTCTTCAACCGACCTTTCTGAAGTGGTAGGACCTTGAGGAACAGTTGTTCCAGTCAGTATAGCTCGTTTGCTTCATCATGATAGGCAAGCCCGACCACCACGTCAAGGTAGCAACAACGGTCGGGAGTGATAATTCATATCTTGACATATAATGAAATGATAAATTAAGCAAAGAGATATTTCCTTTCAACTAGTTTTTCATCATGATTGTGCACTTGACCATACAGTAAGAATAAATTAAATTAGCCAAGGTGACTTGGGTTAGATAGTAGTGTTTACAGATTTAAGTGTTTATAGAAACAATTGCGAATGATGAATAAAACACGTACAAGTTAAAGTGCATAAGGTGAATAATGTTCTAAGGTATTTATTGATAAACGAACAAATTACAATGTACAGATAAAGGATTAGTAATAATAGAATGGTTGAAGTGTTTGATAAGAAGTTGAATATTAGTAAGTTACTTAGTGAAGAATATGTAGGATCGATAATAGGATATTAGGATTGATAAAGTATTTGACAAGAAGTTCAATATTAGTAATAACAGTTGAAATATGTAGTCGAAAAATTGATGGTTAATAAAACTAATTAAGTATAAAGCATGAACTACTAAAGTCAAGTAAGAAACCGCAATTGGACGAGAATTACGTAAGTATTAAAAGTAGTTCTCTCCACTTTTTATATAACCTATATCAATGGCCAAGTCAGAAAGAGGGGTTGTACATCCTTCTTTTAGGTACAGGGGTTGGTTTTCTGGATATGGATTGCGACAGCTTCAACGGCGTAGAGAAGACAAGCCCGTAAGCTATGTGGTAGATTTGATAGAATTAAGTGCCTTAATAAAGTCAACTTGATGTCATGTGTAAACTAAATGAGTGAGAATAGAACTTTTAATCACCATTATATGTTCTTTGCTCAACCAGTTCATATGCTGTTCCATAACACTGATGGACAATAACACTAAAACTATGTGGCTTGCCTTTTCAATTTGTCTTAGACATGAGTAATTCCGTCTATCACACCACAGGAAAGCGGTTAGTACAAATCATCATATTGTTACATCAAGATATTGCCTATTTCTCTCCATTTACCACTCTAGTCTTCAATGTATTTTTGAGAATGACAGATTCACTATTTAGTTACTTACTATCTTATCAGTAGTTAGTTTTATATTTACCTGTATTTTGTAACTTTGTGAAATAGAACTGAATTTTGCCAACTGATCCGTTATTCATTATTGATATCACATAAAACACTACTGGACCGTTTATACAATGAGAGTGTTGCAGTTCAAAAGAAGCTCGCCTATGAACTAGCGATTCTTGAAGGAAAGGTCAGTTAACGGTAATTTTATAATGGTTTATTCAGTTTTTGTTGACAAGTTTTTGATACTATTTTAAATGCTTACATCTCAAATTGTGAGCATTCTTGGGACTGCAATAATCTGTTGGTTCGAGTTTTCGTGGTTAGATCGTGTAATGTGTAACAAAGCTTTGGCTGAGTGTTTTAAATATAGACCCTTTAATTGTCGGAGATTATCTCCAATCCTTTATTACACTTTTGTTATCGGCATATTGATACCATATATATCTTTCATGCCACAAGGCATAATTCAAAAACATATAATTAATCGATGGATTGCATAATTAAAACCTTTCTTTCCATGTCAGTCCACAGGCTATCTTTAGTATTGCTACGTAAATTATCCTCTTAATTTCTGGATGAGCGTTTCTAAGCAAGAATAAGGAATAAATTGTGAAGTGAATTGTATTCATTTCATTCACATGTTCACTAATTTGTTCTAATAAACAAAATGTTTTATAATTGTAATTGTAATATATAGATGAATATTTTAAATGTGAATAGGACCATGATGTAATCGGTGATAAGAAACATTTGCAAGTTTTGATTACAACAGATGAAGTGCTGATAATGGTAATAATTACCGAACAGAAACAACGTTGAATTAATTATAACAGTGGAGATAGTAATACTAATAATGATAACAATAATTGTGGGGGAGAATATGACTAATGTCCAATATATGTTTTCCTATGGCACTGCTAGGTAGTTTGGAGTCAATCAAGATTAAATCGTAATCTTGTTGACATTTAAGGGAAAGTTATCGGGGACAATTTGAGAATAGTGCACATATAAGCAAGCCCATTTTAGTAATCTTGATGAATAAAAGACGATTATTTCGTTTTAATAAATCGTAGTATACACGGTGAATGATTCACTAAATCCCGTTTTCTCCCATAGTAATTCATTCTGAAGTAAATGTATACGTTTATGACGTATTAATTTAGCTACATATTTTACCACAGATGTGAAATTCTTCGAAAAACAGTATCGAAATAGTTTGGTTGATCTGCAGGTGGTGCTAACGTTGAGTTCAACTTTTGTGAGTGAGGACAATCATTTATTATCAACATGGAACTTGCTGTAGTCTTTTAATAGGATAGACCTATCTGTTTGGATTCTGTTCACTTTAATATTTCGGTGACCAATAGGATTTAGATTGTATCAATCACAAAACATTCTTATCAGTATTAATTGATGTCATGGTAAAGAACGGTAATTAAAATACGACTAAATGGTTTGAGAACCGAATAGCCTGTCGCAGAAATCCAGCAACAGCACTTTAAAAGAAAATATGAGGTAACAGTACATATAAAAAAAGTTATAGATTACGAAAACAGATCGATCCTGGACCATCTACGTGGAATAACACATTATTAATATACGCATCTGTAAATGTTAAACTGTGTAATGGAAATTTAAAATATCTGTAACATTTACAACTATACTATATAGATATCACCCCCTTTTGATGCATTATATCCAGTCAATTGATATTATGCTAATAAACGGTTCTTTTATGCTGAGAAGTTATCAACGTGCCAAGGAGTGGTTGTTTGAATTTTTGATGTCTATGTTGCGTGCTTACTTAAGCTTACTACCCAACTTAGTCTGTCGAAAAATATGAAGAGTAGTACACAACTTCAAGAATTGATATAAGGTAGTTTAATGATCGAAAAGTAAAAGAGAAATACTAAGATAAGACCAAATGTGTGAAGGATAATTATCCGCTTAAGGAGTATAAGAAAGATGTCTAAATTTAAAAAAACATGGTGTTAATAAAAAATGACTAAAGATTAAAAACATTAAAATGAATTGCCAATAACCGATTAACTGTGTGTGAAAATTTAGATATTACAGTCATAATATACCTTATTTGCCGAGATGGGGTCTGGTTAGAAAAAGTGGAGAAGTGGTCAGTTTATGACATGATGCCCGGGTGTAAAACAAAAATGAACAGGACTAGGATCTTTCAATCCTTTATAATTCTCTGATTGAGGTCTGAGAGATGGTGCAATCTAGTTACTTGAGACTACCAATTGTGGCTCAAAATAGACTTTGGTGTCAGTCCTGATGTAATTTACCTTTCTTTTTCATATGAAAGTGAGAACTTTTTTAACTGGAAAGATTCCTTGTTGTACTTGTATGTACTGAACTACTCATCCGATAACATACTAATCTCGTTCACTTCTATTCATTTATTGGTATCTGATTATATTCACCCTTGTTCATTTATCCCTTCATTATCTCATACTCTGACTTATATGGCCCATATTTATTTTGATCCCCATTTATGTCATTGTGTACGAGTTCAAATAAATAAATAAAATGGATATTTTGCCATTTGTTATTTGAATTTGTATTTTTGAAACGCTTAGTTGATAGGATTTCACTTACAATCCTATTAGTTTACTGATAAAATCATCAACTACTTTGTCAAGTATTTCTAAAATTCGAATCATGAAAGGAACATATGATGTCTTCACCTTCTATTCTTAATCTGGCAGTTAAAAAATAATCAAAAACCTAGATGATATCTACTTTCGGCACTCAGCATCTTTTATACATCTGAAGATAATTTTTGTCGCTTACTAACTTCAGCTAGATAGAGATTCAAATCCAGAGTCATTTGATCAACTCTTTCATATTATGCGTCTGCCTAACATTGCACAAATCTGCGGCTGTACATGACATTGAAATAAAGAACCTTCAGTTTCGTAGACTACTGTTTTTTTTTAAAATTTCCCCAGTCGATTTCATTTCTTAATTAAAAATTGTCGGTTTGATTTACATTTCGCAAGCCATTTACTTAAACCTACATATTTATTCAATTCAACAACATAAGTTTCTTAATATTTAGCCTTTTTTGTTGTTGAAAAAATCTTTTTAATCAGGCCAATAATCATGTGAAGGCTTTAAAATATCTTATTGAAGATGTAAATGATTATAAAGCCGCATTGTACTATTGTCTTACATTCAGCCGTCAACAACCTATTCATTGTAGTGCACGTAACAATGATACTAATGTAAAATGTAATACAATAGCAGTAAATTCACTTGGTACTTATCACCATTGGGACCAGTTTGAATTTATAGAAGGTGATTCTAGTAATCAATCAATATCCTCCTTGTTATTTACAACATTTGTTGAAATCTGTCTTGATAGGTAAGAATTCGACTTGATTTAAATTATAGTTTACTATTTATGGATTAATATTTTCATAATAATAATATGTAGGAGGGTTTTTAAAACTTGATTTATTCTCATGAATAACTTAAAAACTGTCTACAAACTTTATTAAATCATTATGATGAATATTAATTGTGTGTTAACTGCTGATTAGGGTCGATTATGAGTTCTTGGAGTTATTTTATGATACCATGGTCTGTTTGCTCAACTCTGTGACTGGATAATATTGTACTCATTTCAAATGATATGTTCAATCCTAAGATTAGTTGTGGATATGCACCACCGAGGAGCATCAAATTAAAACAAAATACACTTTCAATACCTTTTAGTTTTTACTGATCATCCATTGCATAATAAAAATTACTTTCCAGTTGTTAAACTGTAGTGTTTGGAAATAATGGAATTCGTAATGACCAGGAGTACTGTATATACCAGTATCGAAATCAGTGAGATTACAGTGAGCACAATTAGAAGTATTGTATTTGAAAATCAGCTCAACCGTAGAATCGCGTACAAAAGAAATCATCGATTAGTACAAATACCACAAAAACATCTCGACAAAATCAATAAAGTAAATTAAGATTATTAGGTCAGAATATTCAGAATACAGATTTAATGAACGGAATTACAAGTGTAGTCTAATGAATTGAAAGATAATAAGAATGATAGTGATAACTGGAATAGTCATTTGAATTTTTGTTCAGTTTCCATAAGTTGTGATATCTGTGGCTTCCAAAAGTAGTTGGATTATATTGATCAATTATTTCATTATCAAGTCCAAAAGAAACTAGTATACGTTTTACAGAAAAAGTCTCACTATTGTCATGAGTTTTTATTCAAAAATTGTATTTATACAAAGTAATTAATAGATTATTACTTTTAATATGCATTTTTGAATAATTTTGATTTCATTGGAATTTATGTGGTTCACGAAAAGTCAGTGAATAAAATGATTGACTACATCTACCCCTACTTTTTTATGTCTCTTACTGAATTCATATCACTTCATACATTACAGTACGTAGTCCTGAAGCAAATATTTGATCTGATTTTTGTTAAATGAATTGTCAGATCAATCAGAAAACGTAGAAATCGTAAGTAAGTAGACTCCAAAAACATAAATGTCGAAATATTCAAGTTTGGTTATATCCTAAATACTCTGTGATCTGTAAAATATTAAGTAATTTAGTACGTGGATGTTATAAGTTGTAAGCAGTCTATGAGATTCCATTGAGCTAAAGTTTCAACGCTACTAGCATCAAGTGAATAACCATTAGAAATCAATGATAATCGAATAATTGTTTCTACTTAGTGGGATGTTATGTTGTATTGAGTTTGTTGAGACAGCTATTTTTTAGTATTGTGTTATGATGTGCGAATCACCTATAGTTAAAACTGTGAATTATTGGTTTTCAACTCGTTTATTCAGCGGTGCCTTTTTCACTGAGAGATGTGACGATTTTTGTTTCCGTTTCATGTAGGATCGCGAATATTCTTTATAAATTAATCTCAAACTGAGATGAATCAGTTATCGAGTGCATCTTGGTTTTTGCCATTTTTTATTTGATTACAGTTCATAATGAAGGACATATTTGAATTACGTGTTACATTATTTAGTCATGTTATCAGAAATTATCCGTATTTTTCAAGTGTGAGATATAAGTTACATAATAGTAATAAATAGTAGTTTATATAAAGATGTATGGGAAAATTACCCACTTGACGAATATCAGGAATATGAAGGACGAAAGAATTTCGCAATAATAACTTGTAAAATTAGAAGTGGTACTAAGATCATGGTGCAATAACGTAATAAATATGTCTCTCGTAAACACAAAGATCGGGGTTGAATTGGTGAACCGACAATTTCTCAGAAATGTACAAATTTCTGATCCAAATTCTTAATTCAGTTTTTGCAACTTTGTAGACACCCTTGAATGGTGATTCCTTTGAGTTGAAATAAGGTAACACTCTTCTATTTTGTTATAATTTATAAGTAAAAACTAACCATAAATATGACTGTAAAGTTCAATTAAATGATATTGTTGAATATAAAATTTTATGCGCCGAATCCCTTTCATTTTTCATCTACGTTAAAATCACAGAAATTTATAGTTTCTATCTATTTGTTACGTGAAAATTTAACACTTCGAAAATGAAAGTGTTTTGTAACGTCGATCGAGTCAGAACAACACACATATACGAACAATATTTTCAATTAAACACTTCATCAGACTTTAATGTAATTTTTACATGGATGTATTAAAAATATTGGACCAGTCAATACAATATGTTGGTCTATTGTAACAATGAAAAAGTTTTACATAACTGCTTGTTTGACAGGTTCAGTAATAAATAAAATATTATAAACAAAGTAGCAATATGAATAAGAATACTGACTTAAGAAGTAGGTCAAAGTTTGCAAAGATAAATGTATCAAAATAATTATTATTCTTAACTAGACCATTGTTAAAGACTAAAAATGACTGAATAGCTGTTACGTCTTAATATGGGACCGAATAATGTGCAGCTAATACCCTTCCATACGAAATCGAACCCTAGAACGTTGGCCCTACATGCGAACTCTGAGCGCGCTGCTAAGTAGTCACACGTTTAGATCAAATAATGGTTCAGTCCTCTCTTGTTTTCAATGGTGATCTAGCTAATACTAATTCGTGATTTACATAATTAAAATCTTCGGCATCTCCATAAACTCCCTTATACTAAAAATACTAATGACTGAAAATTACGTACTAATAAATGTATGAATAGTCAGTTTAAGTATACAGATAATTATCATTAATTCAGAAATTGCTTTAACTGATCTCTACCTTTTTCATACATGCACATAAAAATTATGGTATATTTGGTATGAAGCTGGATAAATATCTAATTGGAAACAATTTTGTTCATTTATTTGTGTTGTTAAGAACTTTTACACTATGAAAATTTCTAAAGAAAATTCATCTCCAATCTATTAAATTACTCAAAAGTTTAACAATTAAAAACAGTGAATTGAAAACTTTCGACATTATAATGTCTTTTTTCATTTGTTTCTATGTATTCGTTTTCCTCGCTGTTTGTTTGTCTCTGTTTAAATAGACTTCATACTAACGAGAACAATTCTAAAGATATAAAGAAAATGATTTTGAATCTTCTGAATAATCCTGATTTAAAATTTAATTATTCAAAGGTAATTAGTTACTCTTTTTTTTTTCTATGTCGTATATGTTAGAATTGTTATAATAATACATTAATGTTGCTTTATTCAATGAGTCAATATTGTTGATCCTAGACATGATAGCAATTAATTTCATCTTAGTACACTTCGTAATTACTTAAATTCGTGAATGCCTGATAGACATTCATAGATTTTAATAATACTTAAATTGATCGTCTACTTCGTCCCTACTTTACTTTGATTTGTTGCTTTTCACTTAAACGAATTTCCCTGTTGGATTTAACTTAAGACTCTAGGGTTTTTCTATTTGCTCAACTTCTTTTCTTAGTTGCTAATGGTCTATCTATACTAAGAAATGACATAAGCATAATTCCCATCTTGATTTGCTCGGAGTTAACTGCGGACTATGCGCACAATGTGTAAAATCGTCCTCAGGACCCATAGACGTAATCCGCTATCATCAAACCCCCTAAATTTAACTTTGATATATTCGAAGGACAATGTAATATTTAGCTACATCTACTTGGATATCAGAGTAATGAAGTTTCAATTCTTATTGTAATCCTTTATACAAGTGTGTTTTGGTTATTAATATAAGGTTCATTGATCTTACAGTAATCACAAACTCAAAATTACTGACTGTTTGTCGGTACCGTGAAAACTTTGTTTTTAATGTTTTCCAGTTTACAATGTCTCTTTCACCTGATATAGACTTTTTTTACGAAAACTATCTTCAAATTAATCATATCCTTTGAAAAACAAACATTAAGTATTGTTATTTTTCTTCCAGTTATTATCTCGTTTTCCATCAACATGGAACATTCTGGAAATCAAACCATTTTTACATAATGCATTTCGATCTACTCTACAAGAATGGTCAGAACTTCAGTTAGAATATGGTTTGACTAAATATAATGCGAAATTATCTATTGTTGATCTCCCTAACAAATCACATTGTCTATTAATTAAAGATGATACTTTGTGTTCTGTATGCCATCAATCAATTTGTGTATATGGTCCATCTGATAGCTTTGCTTGGCTTATTCCTAAAAACAAAGTTGTTCACACTCACTGTTTGTCATCTAATCAATGAATAAAATCTATGCTTATGTAATTCCTTTTTCCTCTAATTATTTTTTGTACTTTTGTTGTTTGCCTAGTGTTTTCTTATTTATTTATTTTGTTTTTTCTTCTATCCTGTTGATCATTAAAGTCATTCAAACCGACAAACTGTTCTGCACTATATTTACTTAACTTTTTTTTCTTTGTTTAATGTACATATTTACATGTTTTCTATGAGCTATTACGTTTTCTTGTATTTATATATACATAATATTAACAACTTGGTACTTGAAAAAAATATCCACTCTTGTCATGCCTGTTGAACAATTTATAAGCCATCTGAATTCAGTAGCATAATGAATGAAGCATTTAAATTTAGAGCGATAATTTTCTAAGTTTGAGTTTACACATGAACACTAAGATACAAGGACGTTTAGTTGACGAATCGTAAATAAGATAAGAACCTTCACCCTTGACTATGTTGCGAAGTATAATCCAAAGTCATAAAAAAAATTGTAGATAAAAGCAATTTTCATTATTCATTTGAACACACAAACATTGGTACAAGGGGGCACCAAATATATATGTGCCACACAATAACCACGAGTGTGAGGAGATACAGAATATAAAGTGTGTATGATATAGAGAATAACAACAACAAACAGAAATTAGTGTATGAGGGTGAAATAATAATAATAGTGGGAGAAACAGTTCAGTTAGTAAAAATACAACCAGAAAGATTCCTTTCAGTTAAAGAAGTTACGCTCACTTTTATGAAGGAAGTAAAACAAGTTACCACAGGATCGCCACTGGTTTCTATTCTCAGCCATGTCTGATAGTGTTTCAAACCACTGTGCTGCAGCATCTCTAGGACTTCAATTAAGAAGTCGTGAAGGACCAACAGAAGCCAGTCATTTTCAGCATTCTTTCATACCTCAACACAATATCATACACTGACCACCTCACCACTTTTTGCAACCAGTCCTAGCGTCGGTAAGCAATGCACGACTTGGAATTCTCTGGAACGACATTCGCAGAACATGAGTAAGCCACCGAAGTCGATGTTTCACGATAGTGACACCAATTGAATTATCGTTTCTGTGCCCGAACACACGATGCCGAACCTCTGCATTACTAACATGGTGTTGTCACTGAATGTCAGCAATCCTTCGGAGACAGTGATGATCGAACACAGAGATTCGTCTAACATCCTCAACTCGGAGAGGCCAGGTTTCACAAGCATAGAGCAAAACTGCTCTCATCGAACTTTTACAGTCAGACTAACATCACGAAGGCGCCAAAGATAACCCAGATTGGCATAAACCGCTCTGGCTTTCACTATACGAGGATTGATCTCATCACTCACGCCACCACCAGCACTTATGCAGCTGCCCAGATACACGAACTTCTCGACTACGTCTATCTGCTCACTATCCAGGGTGAGTACACGACCAGGGTTTTGCCAGTCTTGTAGAAGTACTTTGCACTTCGAATGTGCGAACCACATACCGTATCTACGGACACTAATTGCCAAGTGATTAAGTGCGGATTGCATGGCTTGGGTATTATCGCACAGTAAGACAATATCATCCGCATACTCAAGGTCGAGAAGTCTTTCTCCAGGAAACAGATCCATATGATTGTTGGCCTATGATAAGTATGACGGTGTCCTAACATTCGGTGGAGGGTGAAGATATGATCGATACATCCTCGACCGGAACGAAAACCAGCCTTTCCTTCGGGTTTTGAACAATCTACGAACTATGACTAAAGCCAATAGTTTGGATTCAGCTGGAAGTGTACTTATCCCTCGATAGTTGTTACAGAAACCTTATTAAAGATAAGGACAACTATCGACTAATTCCATGATGTTGAAGCACTGTCTAATTGTCAGAGCATTGTAACCAACTCAGACAGTTCCTTGACCAGAAAGTCACCACCATCTTTTAAAAGTACCGTAGGTAAGTCACATGGACCCGGTGATTTGTAGCGCTTCAAGAGTTGGAGTTTTTTGCGGACGTCTACCTGGCTAAGTGAATCAGTCGTCCCAGGCCACAAAGGGCAGGAGACTTCGATCGATGTTGCCGGGGCAAATGGTCAGTTGAACTGCTCCTCGAAAAACTGCCCATCGATCAAGACGTCTATAGATGTTAGCGATTGGCATCCCGTCATCTTCACGGATTGTTTCACTCACACCAGACTTATTGCTGTCAATGACTCGGATGAGTTGAAAGATCTGCAAATTGACAGATGCAGCTGCTGCTTCCAGCTCATTGTAATGCTCCGACCACCAGGCTTCTCGGTTTCCACATAAGCTTTGTCCAATTTCATTACTACTTAACAGTCGTCGTTTATGGTCAATCTCACCGTCATCCGGAGTAGACCGACGTGCTTCAATGAGTTGTAAGGAGCCTGAAGAAACAAAGTGCTTATACAAGGGACGTTTCGTGAAGCCACAAGAGACTTCACTCGCGATTTTCATGGCGTTATGCAACTGCAACCAATACTCATCTATAATTTACGGTAAGATGTTACCCATCCTTGAACCTAGCTTAGTTTGATGTTTAGTTGCAACAGAAGCTGCAATCAATTCTCCAACCTGTGACCAACCCTATCTGTTATCCGATCTTCATTAGTTTGCGAACGTTGAAGGAGACTATTTTGAATGGTATGCGTGGTTTCAGAAAGACTGTTTCAGTATTCGTATTCGGTGGTAGCACTCAACTTTCGACCAGTCAGTGACTCGATATCGTTTAGATGAAATAGAATCGTCACCATAGGCGAGCTACTGTATAAGTTAAAAAATAAAATACACAAAATGAGAATAAAGAGGAATACATAAGTGGCGTAGTATAAAAGAAATAAAAACGAATATTAGGTGATTGTGAATAACATTTTTCTCAGCAAGCGTTGAAGCAAGAGAAAGTTTCCCAATCGTAGTTATCATTGATTTGTGTGTGGGTTGTGATACGACCCAGGTTCCCAAATCAAAGCAGGAGGTTTTCTTGGGAGGTCAATCCCCAAGTCTTTGACCTGAAGGTCTAATCCACAAGGCAGTGGATCAACATCAGGAGATGAAGTCCCATGGTAAGCGGTCATCAACAATTGGTTCATGCACCATTCGTTCCTTTAGGATCCTGGAGCCCATGTGCACTATTAGTTTGGAATCAGAGTTTTCTAACTCCCCTAGGTGGAGTCTCCATGTCCACCGACCCGGTTAAAGCGCCGGACATTCGCTTATCGTTCTCTCAATTCCGGAAACAACACCACAAGAAGGCAGTAAGTAGGACTTCCCTGGCAGTGGCTGTATACGCGCGGCCATGTGAGAGCATTTCGAGAGGGAGAGCTGACTCTCCCCACCCTCAGCCGTATCAGGGCATTTGAGGGCCATAAAATCATGGTAAATATGTTGCCAACAGTGACTAAAACAAATTCAATCCTGATTATCAACGATTGGGAAATAAACCTTTACGAGTTAGGAGACTGTAGTGGTTGTGCTTTGTTAATCAATCACCCTCGTAACCGTTATCATATAATCCTCAACGGTGTTTGAACTCAGAAGGCAAAGAGAAGCAGCGACTACAGTTTTATTACCAGATAACTCAAACCACATAGCAGTGAGGCGAATGAGTGAGTCAGCGAACCGAAAGTGTAGAGTGTTAAATGTACATGCATATTTATATATGGAAATGAATGGATCATTTAATCAATTAAGCAGCTAATAATAAAGCTAGCAGAATGAATATATGCGTAGGCGGTAAGCAATGTTCAAGCATACATATTTCATACAAGCTTACTGACTTACTTACGCCTGTTGCTCCCAATGGAGCATAAGCCGCTGACCAGCATTCTCCAACATACTCTATCCTGGGCCTTCCCTTCTAGTTCCATCCAATTCTCGTTCATTCTTCTCATGTCTATCTCCATTTCGCGGCATAATGTGTTCTTTGGTCTTCCTCTCTTCCTCCTTTGGCCTTGAGGATTCCATGTGAAGGCTTGTCTTGTGACGCAGTTGGGTGCTTTCCTCAACCTGTGTCCTGTCTACTTCCAGCGCTTCTTCTTGATTTCTTCCTCCGCTGGGTTCTAGTTTTTTCTCTCCCACAGTTGGTTGTTGCTAATAGTTTCCGGCCAACAGATCCGAAGTAATTAGCGTAGACAACTTTTAATAAACACCTGTATTTTCTGGATGATGGCTTTCGTAGTTCTCCAGGTTTCTGCCCCATACAGTAGAACTGTCTTGACATTTGTATTGAAAATCCTGACCTTGGTGTTGGTTGACAGTTGCTTTGAGTTCCAGATGTTCCTCAGTTGTAAATATGCTGCTCTTGCTTTGCCGATCCGCGCCTTCACATCTGCGTCAGATTCACCGTGTTCATCAGTGATGCTGCCCAGATGTGTAAAAGATGTTACATCTTCCAAATCGTCTCCGTCAATTGTGATTGGATTGGTGCATGCTGTGTTGTATCGGAGAATCTTGCTTTTCCTTTTGTGTATATTGAGACCTACTGCTGCTGAGGCTGCCACCACACTGTTCGTCTTCTCCTGCATTTGTTGTTGCGTTTGCGATAGAAGGGCCAGATCATCTGCGAAGTCTAGATCGTCCAACTGCATCCTAGATGTCCACTGTATCCCGTGCTTTCCTTCAGATGTTAACGTCTTCATGATCCAGTCGATCACCAGGAGAAAGAGAAAGGGTGAGAGTAAGCAACCTTGCCTGACACCGGTCTTCACTTCGAACAAGCTTGTTAACTGTTCTCCATGCACGATTTTTCAGTTTAATCCATCATATGAACTCTGTATGATATTGACTATCTTCCGAGGCTCGCTGTAGTGTCGAAGAAGTTTCCATAGTGTTGTTCTGTCTACGCTTCGGAAGGCTCTCCTGGTGTCCCACATTGTACGAACATTCCATGTACCTAAATAAATGGTCGCTCTGGTTGTCAGATGGGGCATCGGCCTCGTGACTTCCGAAGGAATTCGGCTTTCATCATGAGGCGTCATAGTTCTTCTAAATGAAGGCCTTCTGACTCCCAGGGCAGAGTTTAAAATGCTTTGAATAATTTTTTCTCGTTAGCGTTTTTTAGCGAGTTAGTTTTCTACGGGATGAGGACGCTAACCCCATGCCCAACCCTCCTCCTTTATCCGGGCTTGGCACCGGTAGTAGCCCCTGGAGGGACTTCAGGCGGAGTTTTTCATACAAGCACGACAATAATAAAGGTACAATAAGTTGTTATAGTACGAATGACTTTGTCCGCTAAATAAGTTAACAAAAGGGCTTAACTGAGTTAAAT